GATGGATGGATGGATGGATGGATGGATGGTATCAGATTAAAAAAAAATTAAACTTATTTTAATGCATTTGCAGAATAATGTTCTCTGTGTATCTGATAATTCCACAGTCCACCCTCCTATTGTTTTTCTGAATTACTGAACTGACAATTTACTGTTTTTTTTTTGTTGTTGTTATATTTAGGAATTTAGATTTTTCTTAAGAATCATAAGTCATCATGACAGCACTCCTGTGCTGTAACCCTATCTCCCTCCTTCTCTTGTACATTCCAACATTTCTCCTAAACTTGTTGAAATCAGCTCTGACTATCTTAAATCGTGAAAATGGTTGACTTTACTGTCGGGAAGTATGTCCCGCTTGCTTCCTGTGTCACTGATACTATCTGTGTTTCACTCACATCCTCCCAGCCAAGCTCTTGACAGAGAAGTTGCCTCTATAACACAGAACTGGACTCCACCCTTTACTGTCTGATTGAAGTCACTCCAGCTGTGGCTGTGAAATCATGCCGATATTTATTAAGGATCAAATGCTACAAGCTCTTAAAATAGCACAGTTATCAACAGTATGTATGCTTCTTCTGTGACTATATTCGGAGCTCACAATATTTTTTGTCATCTCTGTTGATTCGTAGCATTGGTTCCCAAACCTTTTGTGCCGTGCCCCTTTTAACCAGCCCCTCAGCCCCCGCGTTGTGTCCATCCATTCACAGGTGTAACTCAATATAAAAAAACTATAATTCTTACAAATATTGGTATTAATTGGCATTGCTGCAGCCCCCATGCTGTAGCTTCATGACCCCCAGATAGGGATCTCCTAGCACCATGGGAACAATTGAACAATATAGACAAATGACAAATGACAATCATAGGAATAATTGCAATTGATGTACTTTACTGTTTTTTATTTTATAACAACAAGAAACTAGCTGAGAATTGGCCTAATATCATCTCACTGGTATGCAAATCTGGGTGTGACACACCTCACCCAAAAAGATTAGATTAGGCAAAAATTCACTCATAAGAACAATGTTTGAGGGAACAAAACATCTTCATAGAACAGTTTGGTCTCTCCTACTTCCTCTGTGAGGCCAACACATAAACTCAGGAAGTGGAATTGTTCATTGTGAGAGGTTAGGACGTGACACCTCATGTTATGCAATGCCTCAGCTTACCAGCTCCCCTGAGTGAAGTGCTGCGTTTGAGGCATAGTTATTTTGTCAGGCCTCTCCCATCAACAAACACAGAATATGCAGAGAGACATACTTCCAGGCATGCACATACACAAGGAAGCTGTCTGTTGATATTACTTTCCAGAGAGCACGGTCTAAAGGGCTCAGGAAACGATGTCCAGCACTTTTACTATATTTTTATAATAGCATCCGCCCAAACCAAGACGCGAGTTGCAAAAGTATGTTTTTGATAAATAAAACAATATCCTGTTTTATTTGACCACTTGTTTTTCCAACCTCCTGTGTTTTATTACTAACCAAGGGTATGCAGGTCCTCTGAAAGACATCCCTCCAGAGAAGTTCAACTCCACAGCTGTCCCAAAGTCCTACTCCTCTCCCTGGGAGCAGGCCATTAACAGTGACCCAGCCTTAGCTGGCATTCACACCACCTGCATATCTGAGCCAGAGCCAGAACCAGCCCGACCGGGTTATAAAAGTTTCAACAGGTAACATTACACATTTGAACATCAATGAAATGAATTTAATTTGTTATGAAACTCAAGTTGTAAAGTTTGGGGGTTGTTTGCTGTGGGGAGTGTATGGTATATGACATATGAGTTGTTAGAGAACAATTGTTAAAAGAAAACAAAATCATACCTTTGTGGTTATTATTTGTGTGAATAAATTAGGAAAAAAATAGGAAATTAGGAAATTAGTTTTACAAAATATCCAGATTTGTAAAATGCCATTTTACATTTTTTTACCTAGACGCCTTTGAATGACAAAGCTGTATTAAAATAATGGTAATTTGGTACAGTAAATGTCCTTGCATTAGGCATCAGAATGTTCTAGACAAAGATTTACATAGTGCTGACCATGCAGAAAAAAAAATCTCGTCCTTCATCCAATGTACATAAGTATGGTTTTCACTCTAAGCACGTTTTTCTTAGAACATGCCCCTTGGAATAATTCTTTTCATGGCTGTAATTAGTTGCTCCACTTAAAATGTCACTGCAGACCCTTGTTATCGATACGTCACTGCCTCTGTTCACCTTGTCACTCTTAAATTCATACTTAGGGTGGCCATGCCGTTCGGTGGCTTCAGCAGTGCACCAAGACATCCACCTGCCCAGCAGCCCCAAATGGAAGCCCTCCCTGATTTCCCTGAACTTCAAGGCGAAACAAAAGTTCATCGTCCCTCTTTTAACAGATCCGCTCTGGGGTGGGGATCTCCAAGTGGTCACGTCGCCTTTCCTGCTGTTTCCCTCGGGCCTGTGCCCATCCCTGAGTCAGATGACCTCTGAACACAAAGTGACCTCACACTGAGGTGCTGTCATCGTAGTGGTTGCTGTTAAAGGTACAGTAGGGGGGATGAACAGGTTGGGTCAATACAGACCAATGAGTGTGCAGCATCTTTTGGTTTTGCGGGGAATATTTTTCTTCTAGAATGAAGAGAGCTTGTTATAAATGTATGTGATTTGGTTTATTTCTATTATTTCAGGTTTAACTCAATAAATATATTGGTCTAAAAACACTATTTTTGGGTTTTATATTTCACAATACAGCCTCAGCTTCTTAATTCACAGTGTAAAGTGGATGTATGTACCACTCCAAGTCTGCAGATCTCAGGCTCACATCAGTGAGTGATGTGTGCCATAGCCATATGCAAAGCCATCATTTACTGCATCGTGTGAAGGGCTAGAGATACATGTGAGCCACTGTAACACGCCTCAAGGTTACACTGACTGACAAATCAAATCTGCTTCACTGACACCAGTGGCTTGAATGATGTGTCTCCCACCTTTTGGCTATGCCCGATCAAAATATATAGGATCGATGGGGGGCGGGGGTGCTTGATGAGATGGCTGTGCCCGTTCCACATCTGTCTCCGTTTATAACCATGAAGCACGTTGGAACCTATATCTGAGACATGACAGGCTTGAAAAAAAAAAGTACTGATAAGAGTTGATGAAAGGCTTTAGTTTAAGGTAAAATGCATCAAGTGCTGGTTAAATAACCGCTGTGTTGTTTGATTAGTTGCATGTTGACAAGTTACAATTTTACTGATGGAATGTTTTATACTTTCTCAGCAGAATAGATGTGGAGAAATGGTGGACGAGGTTAAGTATTTCATGGCCCATTGTCTGCAATACGATTTATCCACTCAATTTGAATTTATTGTAAAATAGTTCCTAATAATGAGACAGGCATTCTAGGAGGTCTCAGATGGAACTGTAGGTAGAGCTGTCAGTCACTGTGATGCACTGCTGTAAGGTATTTTTGTAACTGTTGTGCGACTGAGCTTTGACGTCAAAGCTCAGTAAGTTATGAGTCTGAGGGACGTGTTCTACACTCTTCTTATTTCTGAGTTTAAATCAGCTGATAGGTCTCAGTCCAGAGCCAAAAGCCGTCGATCAAAATGTTGCATGACACAAGATAACTTATAACTTCTCATGAATTTGAGATTTTTCACAAGAGTTGTGATATTTTTAAGGTCTGCAAATATATACAGTGAATAGATGGAATTTGGAAAATCTTCTCACATGACAGACTTTAGCATATTTGGCCTCTGAGTCACATTGGAAATGTCGAGCCCCCGCTGCCACTCCTTTTTTGAGCCTCACTGAATTCCCCTTACCACTCTCATCTGCATGTGGTGGTGGTGGTGGTGGTCCAGCTTCTATGACCAGTGTCACTGCCAAGTACCATTGTAAATAGTGAGCCCTATCTATCAAGGGCAGACATGAACTTACTTTGAACTTCAATTGTAGTCATTAACAAATGCAGAGACGGAAATATTATTGGCAGGGACTGTGGCGTGGGCCGGAGGATCACAGAGAGTCAGACAATTTGATTATTAGTCTCTGACTGAAACCAGTTTCCCCCTCAGGGTGGTTTGCTTTGGCATAAGATGGCATGGATGGGCGCTAGACGCTGGACTGCCTGCTGTGAGGTCGACAGTGGGTTCTAGACAAGGAGTGCCCGTTTGTTTTATTTCCTGCAGTTTCAAGTCCTGCCAAATTACTTTGGAATCAAAGAGGGAAAGTAAAGGAGAGCAGCATGTTATCTCAAATGCAACTGCCTTTAATGGGATTCAAACACCTGATAAGAATAAAGGAATGAGATAAACACTTGCCTGTGAAACTAAGAATGGAATCCTGACAGTTTTGTATAAATCTTAGGTTTAATACTTCTGGTGACATTGACGAGGCCCCGTGTGAGCAGATGGTCCTCCACTCCTTAATCAGCATTTGCTAATGGACTCTGCTGGTGCTGCATTCACTGTCATGTTTTAAAGCCGAAATCCCCAGAGGTTTCCATCTGCCCACACAGCAACCACCACTGAGTTTGCAGTGTGCTGCTGACACAGACAACTGCTGTAAGGTTGTGCCACATGACCAGACAGTAGCCCCGAAGGATTCCCCTTAAGTATGCGTGGGTCAAGTCAAGTGAGAAACCAGTGTGTTGTCAACTAAAATTTCCAAGGGCACAGAGCTGCACACTGAAGGAAATCTCTTATTTTGCTTTTACACACACAAAGTTGTGCATGAAATTTATGGTCAGAATTTTCACCGAACATGTAACAATTTTGGGATTACCTTGAGGGGTTGTATAAAAACCCAGCCCTAATCTATTATACCAAGATCAGCATAGTATAGATAAAGAGTGTAATTTTAACATCTGGTGAGATTAACTCATTCAGCCTGATTGATGGGTCCAGCAGGTGCTTCTTGTCACCGGATGGTGCAAACCTTGAATGGGATCTAAAAATATGAGTGGGAATAAAACTTTTCAGAGGTCATGAGGGTGGTTTTGGGTTGCTGGTGAGGTGAGGCGAAAGGAGACGAGACACAGATTCCACTTCTGAAATGAGGTGAAGTGACACCGTGGGTCAAACTATGATTCACTCTGAGAAGTATGTTATATACTGACAAAAACTCTCTACCAAGGAAAGTACAGCTATACTATTGACTAACCTGTTTTTTGATTTACTCTGGTAAGCTCCTGAGACTAATTATGCTTTGTTGTCTCACAGTAATCCAGACTTTGACTTTCACCTCAGGGGACTCGTCTGTATTTATGTCTGGTCAATAAATAACATGTGCATGTTAACCTCCTCTCTTTGGCCATTTGGCTTAAAGTCAATGCAGAATTATTTACCTACCCACATAGAATTTGGAAACACAGTATGTGGTTGGTAGAATTGAGACATTTAATTGTCAATAAAACATGTCATTTGTTAATGTAATTTACCTGCACAAAGGAAAGAAAAAGGACATCTTAAAATGTCTCTAATGTGGTGAAAGTGATGAACGAGCAGCACTCCTTGATGCTGCTGCTGCTGCTGGGGAAAGAATAATTAATGTGTTATCTCTAGCCATGAAGGGATTACTCTGCCAACAGACAGAGCTAGCATTTTATTCTGTGTGCTTTGGTGCAGACAGAGCTGAGGTGCTAGCATTTTATTCTGTGTGCTTTGGTTACTGTGGATATGGCAAACACAGCAGTGGAATATATCACAGTCACCACTTTGGCTCCACTCCAAAATTAATGCAAATTGGTCTGTTGCCAAAAAAATGATGCTTATGTCATCCACTTTTCTGCAGTGAAACAAAGCCCAATCTACTGTTTGGGTCGGGGGGAAAAATTAAATAATAAAAAGTCAAACAAAAGCTACAAAAAAATCTTCTACTCCCATGGTGTACTGTGTTAGGAAAAACATCACATGCTCAGGCATGAGACTATCTTCTACTCCCATGGTGTACTGTATTAGGAAAAACATCACATGCTCAGGCATCATGTATGTGGTAATGCTAAGTCACCATGATAATTCACATTCCATTACCATTAACACTATGCAATGAAGACATGATGTACTTCAACATGTTCTCTTATGTTTTTTTGCAATTTCTTTTTTTTTGAGCTGCATTTCTTCTTACATAACCTTATTTGGACATTTGTGCTAAGTGGGTTTGAACCCAACGAACAAAAAGTCCTCTTGTTTAGTCTTATTGTTCTTCAGAAACCCGAGGAGCGGTTTCACCTCTAAACAAAAACTTCACCGTAAGCTGAATGTGATTCCAGGTAGCATGAATTGCTTCAGGGGCGTTGGCTCCTATTGTGTCATTGAAGCCTGTAGAGTATAATCCCTTATATAACAAACACAATTACTTTGTCTTTCTTTATTAGTATAAATTCAACAATCACGCAATAGAATAAACTATAAATGTACAGAATGAAATCTGAAAAAATATGGAAATAAAAAAACAGTCATTCTGCCTGCATTTATTTTAGAAAACTATTTTTTGAATCAAATTTAAGAATATATGTTTTTATTATATACTGGTATACTTTTATTTAAGAGTATAATTTGGGAAAAGTGAAATAATAATAATAACAATAATAATTTTACCCAACATTTCTTAGAGTTTTTTTATGAGCATCAATGTATTAGTGTCATTAACCAAATTTAAACACCTTTTAACAGACGGGCAGAGCGACAAGCACTTTATATCCAATATATTCACTGTCTATCTGCTTATTGTTGCTGATGATATACCTGCTGTCATTTACACGACACGCAGAAAAAAGTTGTCTCTCCACTGAAACATGTCAAGCTTAAAATTACAATGTGTTTGTGGAGGCGGTTGTTTTAGGACAGATTTGTGTCCGATCAACCTCATAGAGGACAGGGCAGTAAATAAGTCTACGGCTGACAGGCTGACTGATACAATTACTATAGGATTGCAGAGAACTGTAGACCGTTTAGTATTGTTGTGGACAACAGCTTCATCTGTCTTTAAGACTACAGTAAGAACACGTTTAGGATTTTACAGTATACAAACAAACATTTGTACAAGTTAAGTCAGGTATTTAGGATTGAAGTATAAATTAAATAATAGTAACAACAAAAGTTAAAGATATATGTATGATATATGATATATACATATAAGACTTTGTGCTTTTGGTAATATAGATTAGAAATAAACAGAGAAGAGACATTATTGCTAAAGAGACGTTCTTTAAATAGCACTGCACATCTAGTATGAGTGGATTTTAAAATACCCAGTGACCTTATTAAATTAATCAAATCGTCTATCAGATTTAAAAAAAGTAATTGACGGGACAGACAGCTCTGAAGAGAACAAAAAATATCTGGAATGTGAGATTTAGAGATCATTTATTTGTGTGGTTGTAGGTGCTGGTGAAATTTTAAAAAAAGCAGGAGAGAGGACACAGTGTTTGTCATTTGAGCTGTGTTTCAACACTGAGTTCAGCAGAACTCACGCTGTTCATTGGACCTTATCAAGGTGAGAAGTCAGGGCAGTGGTAGCTGATCTCAGTGGGGCATTCACAGTATGCATTGTCTCCTTGTGGTGCAGAAAATGTCTGGATCATTTTTCAGATAATAAAATGCCCTCCTAAACAGATTTAAGTTTGTACAAGCAGTAGTACTCAGTACAAAATAGGGAAATAATGTCATAAAATCACTAATTCACCAAGAGAAAGAAAGGAGAGAGAAACTGAAATTTGTTAAATTGACAGCACAAATAGGAGACAGGCTGATTAAAGGTCAAAATGAATTAACTGTGACTGTAACCAGTGAGGAACCGTTATGAAGGAGTCTTTCACAGTACATGCTAGTCATGCAGCGTGTCAGTAAAATGATATGTTACAGTACAATATGTTACAATTTTAGAAATTTAGCCCAGAGTGACAAGGCTTTGCTGACAGCACACAAAATGTCACAATCAGAACAGGCTACCAAAGTCTCTCCAAGTCCAAAAAAGAAAAAAAAAAAAAGAAAAAAAGAAAAAATGGATATATTCTCTTATCTTTTTTCTTTATATACATTTAGGAGTGTATTAATTATCAAGTGGATTTAAAGTATATGTGATTTAAGCCGACAGCACCATACTGGTCATAAAATACTTGTACAATAAATTCACAAAACACAAAAAAAATAACAAATCAAGTCGTTTCTAAATTAAGACACTGGCTTTGTGGGGTATTTTCTTAAAATATATAAAGTTGTTTTTCTTAAATTAAATGCCCAACAAATCATATACTTTTATGAATTTGAATTTCCCTTGAGGAAACATGATACAGGGGAAATAAAACAGCATTGTCTCATCAGTGGAGTCTTTTAACTACTTCCTGAGGAAATCTGGACAATGCTGATACACTGTGACCCATATAAAGTGTGTAACGATTAAAAAGAATAAAAAATAAATTAGGTGATTTTTCTTTTTTTTCTTTTTTTTTTAAAGCCAACTGTTGCATTTCTGTTTTAAATTAGCATTCAAGCAATTGCTGGTAAAATAATTAAAATAACATATAAAAAGTCAATGCTTTCCTGTAGACTCTGAATTGAGGTTTTATTCTTCACTTGACCCGTGACAGGCAGAAATCAGTGAGAGCTGAGTGTAAAATGCCCTTCACATCATTAGGAGACTAGTAAGAAAATATCCAGTTACAGAAAAGTTACAGATCATTTGCAGTGATACTTTGTTATTTTACTTTATTTCAAAATGATTTGTAAATAAAAAAAGAAAGTTGAACATTAATTATTTAGAGTTACTTCTGAGATGTGGTCACTTATTGCAAGTCAAACACTACAAGTTTGTTAATGTTAAAATGAAACAGTCATTTTAAATTACTAAGTTTATTATTATAATAAACCGAATTTTATTTAATTAAATCAATAAAAATAAAGTTTTTGCCCTTAACTATATATTGTATTTGTCATGTTTATTGAACAAATATAACAATGCCAACTACATTAAATGCTCAATTTATTGGAATTATGTTAATTTTTTTTTTAAGAAACCTTACATAACCCCCTTTCTATCCCGTTTGTTTATATTCGTCATTTTAATGACCACAGGTTAGGGGTTTCAGTAAATGGTTAACACCTAGCAGAGCACGCTCAATCATTGGCCCTGGATTCTGATCAGAAAGTTTTACAACAACAACAACAACAGCAACACAAAATTAATCCAAATGCATTTTTTTTTTAACAAACTGAAGAGTGTGTGTGTGAGATGCAGTTTTGTAGAAGGGAAGAACAGTAAAGTAACACTGAAGGCTGCAAACTGCAAACCCTCCAGCTCCATAAAGCAACATTTAACGAGCCTTCCAGTTGAGTGCCAGCTCTGCTGGCAGGCTCCGCCGAGCGTGCATGTGTGTGTGAAGCAGTGGTGAACAGTAGCATGGCAGACTGCAGTAACTACAGGGACGGAGAGGCGGGGTTTGCTCTGAAAACATTGTCTAATCCAGTATTTCAGGTGCAGGAGTCGACAGAGCGTCCACAGCAGTGTGTGCTCACTACCGCCGCACGTCAGCTGACTACTGCAGGAGCGCACGCCTCTTCACACTGGAATTTACGGCAAGTGGACAGAGACGTCGGCTGCTGCTGTGGAACCAAGTGGGAATTCTAAGAGAAAGAAAGAGGAAAGAACAAGGAGTGGGAATGTAGTTTTAGCAGCGTTTGTGCCACACTTTCCCCTTTTCAGCTTTATTCTTCTCGTATCCAGTGTTTCTTACGCTTATTTTCTAAAAAAAAGCACAGTGTAAGGCAGCGACTCCCAACTGCTTCAGAGTTCCTCCTCCGAAACTCGGATCAAACTCCGTGTTCAGACCACACCGGAGGATTTTAACCGCATTGGGTCTGTTGTCCAGTCTCAGGTCAGTGGAGTTTTTCATATACATGTTATTTTAACTTTACTGGTGGTAATGATCGTACAAATGTAAAGAGAGCGAGCGGAAATGTCTCTGGATTCGAAACACAGGTGAGCGAAAACCAGGTAGACCGATCATTAGCGGCCGATCAAAAAGCCACGCTTATGTTTGTTGTTGTATTTAACTTATTGAGTTAAAAATAATGACTTGTTTTCCCTCATCTCGGTCAGACTTGAGTTTTATAACGCTGTTTATTGAAGTTTTATTGTGAAAGTCTGACGTTGTCACGTCGTCATCTTGCTGTGTTGACAGCGAACTGTGCGACACCTTGTTGTGAAATATTAATTGTACAGTTTGTACCATTGAGCAACACAGTACATGTCTTATTTTGATAGTTTATGGTCACCGTTTCGTTACATGCATGTAGGTGAATTAGTAGATAACGCTTGGTTATTGATTCATTAGAAAAGGCGTTTAGATTGTACACTGAAAGGTATTTCTGAAAGGCTATTCGTCCAACATGGCGGCCTCTGTAGAATGGAACTCAGTCCTTTCGTTGTATGAGGGAAATTGAATGAGTCAGTATCTTAAACTCTATTTAACAAACAAACAAACAAACCTGAAAGTCAAACATTAGCCTCCTGTGGTATCCTAGTATAACAATATGGGGCTATCGCTGGAAAGCCTAAATAATGACAAATTCTATGCATACCGAAACCATGGAAACAAGCCCAACTTGTAACCAAGACCTTAACATGTTGAAAAATATTGGTCAAATCGTACATTCCAAGGAAAACTAAATCTATTTATTAAAAAAGGTGGACTCCAGGAACATCATCATTAAAATCTTTACTTCAACAAAGAAATTGGTGTACATTTCTTTATGGTCTATGATCCCACCTGGCCTCCTTTTTATCTTGGCATTAGCTAAGATGTATTTAGCTTGTATTAAATCTCAACTAATAATAACAATTGTTTTTAGCACTAATTAGTTAATTAAGTGATAATGAATTGAAAGCATGTTTCCATGTAATTCATTAAGTGTTTTTAAATTTTATTTTAAACAAGTTCTTTAATTTTAGTCTTGCAAATGAAAAAATAAATACATGTTTGTTGTTCCTTAAACAGGAAATTCAAAACAATTTGCCTGGAAACTAAGTCGGTAGTCTCATTGAAACTCAATGGCATTCCCACTTCATCCATTGCACCCTGTGACCTACGGTAGTCCCTCTCCTTCTTTTATTCATTCCAGTAATAAGACCCCTGAGCTGCAGACCTCAGCTCTGTAAAGCAGAGTGATGACGAGGCGATGAGCTCATCAACTCTATTAACAACCATACAGAGTCATGCATGTTGTTCATGGATGAGTATTCTGTGTGTTGAACATTTCCTCCTGGAACCAGGCTGATGAAGTAATAATGGGTGCATGCCGAAAAACCAGTTTTGACAGCGAGTCTTGTGTTTCACCTCTTTGTTTGCAGGCCTGTCGAGAACATGTATTACGTCAAATTAGCGTCTTAGTGTTGTTTACTCATTGTTCTGGTTATCAGTCTTTCCCAAACGTGGATAAAACAGGTGGCAGCCGCATGGGGCTCATATCAGATCATACTGTACATTTCCACAAAAGTGAATTTGATGCATTACAACAATAGAAACTTTTTATTTTGAAAAAGAGCAGACTTTTGTCAAGTGGTAGGACAGTGGTAGGAAACATTAAGGCAGAGGGGAGGACATTATATGTCAGTCTGATTCTGTTTTGTTGGGGATCCTGTGCCATGTGGTCTGTGGTCAGTAAGGAAATATGGGTGACTCAGTGTGGTGTAGCTGACCAGTTCAGAGGAATTTGGTCAGCGAATGCTGGGAATTGTTGAGCCTTAGAGCAGGAAGCGTACAAAGTGAAGGTCCGTTGCATTGATGGCTGAAGGCTTAAACCATGTCTGCTCTCTGTCAGGAGTAGTGGTCATATGGTCATATTTTACTGCTTCTTTCACATGGCGTGTTCATGGCATTTTTTTGTCATATTTTAATTAAGATGAGATGTATGTATAAATATAAAATGGTGGTGAGGGAGTGTTTGTCAAGACGTTAGACATATTGTCCACTGTATTTAATACATTGTGCAGAATTACACGATTGAAAACTACAAGTTGGGGAACTACTTTATGAAGCAGTGTGACGCAAATAGAAGGCATGGCTGCATCTGAAATGGAAAGTCTTCATTGTTTCTACTAAAGGCTAATAATGAAGACTTTTTAAATCCCTATATCTTGGGATGTAAGATTTTAGTTCAAAGTGAAGCAACTCAGTTTATAAGTTCAATATATATATATATATATATAAACCTGATTTAAACGCAGCTTAAATGCAGTCATGTTAGCATTTTATAAAATGATCCACTCTTTTCTATTTTATTTTAAATAAATCATTATTGGAGCAGTTTATGTGGCTTTTATTCATTTGAAATGTGTATTTTTATTATCAGGCAGCTGTTTCAGTTCATATGTGGGCGTCAAAAATGTAGGTGTGAAAGTAATAGAAATAGATTTTTTTTTTCTATTTTTAACTGTCTTAGTGTGACAGATTATGACTCAATGGAGTGCAGAGATATTTTTGTTAAAAGCTAAAAGTTTCAACTGAACACAGCCAATACAAAGACATTTATTGTACTTATTTCTATCTTTTGGTTTGTACAAAAGGTACTTTTGATTCACTTTAATTCCAGCAGCAAAGCATTAGTAAACAGGATTATGGAGCCCAATATGTTAAAAATGGAGAGATACCACAGTGAGACAGACTCTTTTGCTGTTGTGGTTTCAGTGATTTGCTGTGACAAAAGATGAGAAAGACATTTTGAGGTTTTTCTAATGTCGCAGAGTTACTGTCTAAACTGTCTAGTGTTAGGGAAAATGCCGAAAATGTCACTTACCTGTCGAGCACATTGGAGGAATGGCAGCTTAATGGAAAGTTATATTGAACTGCATTAGAGAAATAAAAAAAAAACTTGATCTAACAAAACAAATGTCAGAAAGGTTTGAAATATAGCACATTTTCTTCAATCAACACTTATTTGAATAATATAGGCGAAAAGGCAAAGAGCCTGTATATGAGCCATGGAGAGCTCAGCATTATTATTAATGAAATAAACCTGCTTTTTTTTTTGCTGTTCCCACAGTCTCTATCTAATTTTACATCTTATAGACACTAAATTAGAGTGACTCAATTTCCTGCAGATTGATTCTTCAGCTGCTCCTGGCATTCCCAGATCAAGGAGATCAATTGAATCATTCCTAATGAGGCTATCCATCAATCTATCGCTTATAGATAAATTATAGCATCCCACTCCTGGTGCCTTCACACCCCACCTGTCCACAGCCTCTCTGACTTAGTGAAGCTTGCTGAGCTGCTGATGCATAACACCCCTCTTTGCCTGATTGCTTCACAGTGCTAGTCCTAGCAATTCCATTGTGACAAAGACAGAATAAGTCAGTCAGGTCTTTCACATGATGAGTCCGAGCAGGTCTTTGTTTAAAAAGGAAGACTGTACTTCCTGAGCTGGTTTTCCAGAGAGGAAAAAGTGAAAGTTCCCGTTATGTTTGGTTTTCACTATGCACCGCATTTTTGGCCACTGAAAAGACTTTTAACTCGTCTGAAAGTACCAACATGTCTGCTAACATGTGTACAGACTGCATAAAAGAGTGACAATAATTAGATATATGGTGAATTAAGATGTGGATCTTTGCCCATATATTAAAATGCATTAAAATCTTTAATCTGATATATCTCACAATTTAAACAACACATTTATTTTGGGAATTAAAATAGGAAATAAGTCTCAGTGAACTAGAAGGGTATTGTTTTTTCTTTTTTTTAATTGAAGTGATGTAATCCTGGCAGCTGGGCAGCATTATTACCTGCCACTTAAGTCAGCTACATTTATCTGTCATCTAGTTAAATTTTCTCAGGTGATTTATTTCTAATTTTTTAAATTAAGTCTTCTTCATGACTTTGTCAAAAACCACCAGACTCTCAAATGCCTTAAGCTTCATTTTTGTTGGCGCAGCCACCTGTACAGCAGGTTCCCATTCTTTGTAAGATGTCAATCAATCTGTTTTAAGATTAGGAATACAATCTTTGCCAGTTGAAACTTGCTCTGTTACAATGCACATAGTAAAGCAAATGTTGAGATTAACAACAACCCAAAGCAGTTATGTTAAGTAAATAAAATGATATTAATAAAGTGACAAGAAAGCTTCGAGCAATTCAATATAATCCTGTCGTAATATTTAACTCAATTGTGGTGAGTAAGAATCTCTTCAATTCAGAAGAAATTATGGTAAAATGTAGCTGTAAATTATCAAGTAGAACAGCATAATTTAATAAGGGAATAATAAAAATATTAGGTTAAAAAAAATGTACTCCCGCTGTTGTCAGCAGTGTCACAATGCAGGGCATGCATGGCCTTCATCCTGCATGCCATCAGGCTGATGTTGAACATTGTGGACAGGAGGGCGTGTGGCATTGTTTGTGCTTGCTGAGATGCTTCACAGACATGCTGGGTTTTACTGTGCTGTTTATTTTAAGCAAGCAGTTACCTTTTGTTAACAATAGGAATCACTGCTACTGATAATGTATTAATATCATAATTACAAAGTAAGGCTGGAGTCTGAAGAAAGATATTTCTGTGTCGTATCTACATATAAACACATCACAATACACTGTTATCAGCACACTAGCAGGCTGAAGATTCGTATGACGCTGGACATCCTTGTTAAGAGATTTTAAAAGTAAGTTAAGGCTAAGGCTTGACTAAAGGTTTCTAAATGTCAGCTATGAAATAGTTATCAGACTAATTTTGCAAAAGAAAAAAATAAATGTAGCAAAGACAAGCAAAAAAAAAAACAAAAGCCAACAAGCAATCAAGATAACCTCTGAATGCTTAAGTGATATGAAAGGTGTATGAAAAGTGCTTGAATCTGTATAGAACTACCATAAACTGTTCAGGTGTCATTCTTTCTTCTGACGTGTCCTTCAAGATTGAAGGTTTTCTACTCCTCCGTCCTATTAAACATGTCCAAGAGCAAATCTGAGTTGCTGTGTAATGCTTCTGTTATGGATGCCAGTTGTGCAAATAACCATTTGTAAACACTTGTGTTTCTCTGTGTGAAGTCACGTTGTTGCAACATTGCTGTCACAGATCAAACATTCCTGAAATGCCAGGATGACAAAGGTGTCTAACAGGTTATGGCTGAAACTTAGTGCTTAGTGAGGTTTCTACAAGAGGCATTGTCTCTGTTTGCACAAAGTAGGGCAGTATTTTTGTCATTTCTCGGAATAACAAAAAAAAAAAAGCTTTTGCTTCAGTCTTTTAGGTTGTTTTCCGAGGTAGAGAGACAAACAAGGAGTGAATCACATCATATCAGACCAGAAACTATTTCTCATTGTTTCTTTGTCTGGACTTATTTTGGAACGTGGTGCACTTTGTCACAACACTTGAATCCAATAAAGACACACGGTGGACTTTGTTATCATGTAGAATGACAAAAGAAAACACAGGTTGTGATTGTGTGCACCTTCATTTCTTTCGACAACAAGCAAAGCGTCCAGTGCCTCACTCAGCACAAGCATATTCATCCATCACTCCTCTCAGAGTAGTTTGTGTTCAGCACTGCCTTTTCTCGGATGGCACGGTCGCCGCACTTTTTGTCTGTTTTCCTTCTCTTACAGAAGCTTGGCCTGCAGCTTTAAAAGGTGTAGCTGCACCTCCCCTGGTTGTTTTTATTATCTTTATAACCCATGTTAAAAAGTAAGTTGCGCTGGTGATGTTATGTAGGTACATGTAGGAAGCGATAACAACAAGCAGACAGACAAAACAGAACATGCATAGTCACGCAAATTAAATCGCATATTTGTTGCAGCAGGTTTTGATCAAATAAATATGGTTCTAATCTCAGTTGATTTATTACATTGTTATTCTGAAAGTGGAACAAATATTATTTTCTCTCTAAGTTTTCTTTTTTCTTTTTAACTCAGGCCACCTGTCTAGTTTGTTTGTTGTGTTTGTTTTCACTATTATGAATTGGAAAATGCAAATGGGATTGCCCCACTCTGTCGACTCATCAATATTAGAAACATGCACAGACTGCTCAGAATTTATCGATACTGAGAGCTGGGGAACACAGTTGTCAGTCCTGACAGGAGATCATTACTGCAGGGGAAGCCAGTGCTTTATTTCTCCCCAGCACCAGTAATTGGACCTGAATAAAGTTGAGCTGCACCTAATGCCACATCAGTTGTTGATTGAGTGGTGTTGCAACCATTCAATATTTTCCCCACACAAACCATATCCACACGAACTGGGTGCTACCTTCGAATGCAGGAATATCTTGAGTTTTGGTCAATATTAATTTATGATAGTTTGAGAACTTAGACAATCAACAAATATTCACTCAACTGACTGTAGAGAATGTCTTCATTGCCTTTGTGGTTTTAGTGGTTAAGTGACAAACCAATATTATTGCAATTTCTCATGTCATTTAGCCCTAGAGCTCAAAGATTAGTGGTTTCCTTTTTTTGGTTATTTTCACTCAATTTTTCTCTAATCTTCTTATCTATTAATTTGTCTCATGTTAAGCATCTAAATATTTTATATTCATTTTCATTTTGATTTATTTTTATTTAATCCTTTTTTATTTTTTATGATTTGCAATTAATTTTCCACCTTCACTTTTCAGTCTTTATTACAATTGTTTTTTTATTATTGTTATTATTGATTACAAGAATTCTCTTTAGCCTTTACCTCTGTCAGTGTGTGTGTGTGGGTTGCAATGTAGGCATTTATCGTTAAATAGTTTTAGTGAAGCACTGCCTGTTGTACTATAATAGTACTTAAAATGTTTTGATGTATGATAAACATAGGATCAAGGTTTTTACCAAGCTAAAATGTTTACCATGGAACTTTTTTTTTTACCCCTTTAAAGTGAATATTTCCTTTTACATTTTAAACAGATGTTGCTATTGCCAGTGTTCCCTCTGAGAATCTGAGTGAAATGCCTTCACGTTAATGTGCAATCTAAGTAAAACCCACCCCCATTAAACAAGCTGTTTGTGAGAGTTAATGTGTAAACCGAGCAGATACATATCAAAAAGGTCATTTTGACCCCAAAAGTTATTTCACTTTGGCATTGAACATTGAAAGGTATTTTGAGGTAAAAATAATCCTTATTTTGTGAAATATTAAAAGTCAAACTCCTGAGAATGTAAATGATTCAGTTTTGATTTTAATTTTTTTTTCTTTCTTTTTTTATTCTTAGGTGTCTGTACGTGAACTGCTTTATGGGACCATTGACTGTATCTGGATTTCAGCACTACAGTCACGACCATGCAACTTACTTAAATAACTGGAGATTATTGCCAAGACAACAGGATGACTGATTTGCGATTTGGATTTCAACCAGATTTCATCAGAATTATTAGACTGTTAGTTATCACTAGGTTTTCCGAAACAAACTCCTGGATTATAATTTTATTTTGAAGTTTTCCTTTACTCTATTTTTACCTTTTATATTTGCATAAACTAAAAATAGAATTCATGCTTGAGCTGCAGAAATGGATTAACTGGGCAGTTGTTGCTGCTTGTGGAAAAACAAAGCTTCACACTGCTGGGGTCTCACTTTCTTAAGGGGCTGAGGGATCTGATCCCAGCCCCGAACAACTCTGTTGTCTGACCACCCCACCTGTCTGAACGCAGTCCCTGCTATCCAATGGCATGGGCCAAGTTCTTCAGGAAGCCGGGGGGCAATCTGGGGAAGTCGTATCAGCCGGGGAGCATGCTGTCTCTGGCCCCAACCAAAGGACTGTTGAACGAGCCTGGCCAGAACAGCTGCTTCCTCAACAGTGCTGTGCAGGTAGGTTGTTCTAAAGTGGACACAAGTAGAACATTACTCTGACCTGCACATAAATATTTTTTGTAGTGTCATTTGCAGCATATTTTGTGAGTTTACTTAATTTTCCGTCTTTGGTCAAGGACTTGTTCAAATACCTTTTTCTCTAGGACAGACAACCAAATGTCTATGTACATAATCTCCTATGTAGGTCTGTTACTAAGATCACCATAAAAGCCTTAGTAATATTGTATTAACAGTTTCATACATTTTATAAGCCTTGAAATAGTATCCACTAATATCATTTTAGTAGACCAAAACAATTCTGATATTTTGTTGATAATACTGAATACTAAAACAGTTATATTCACTAAAATACAATTAAGTCAACAGACTAGGACTAAATCTTATGTCCAAGTGAAAAGTGCTTGCTTTTAATTTATCATTTATCCTTAAGCATTTCTCTGAGCTTTCCAGAACTTTGTTACTGCACTTGACTAATGGTTTACTGGCTGCCGGGTTACTTCACTGTTGCAGTCAACAACATAGTGATGTCACACTCCTAAGACTGTGACTCAGGGGTGAGACTTGTTCCTCTTGGCCAATCCTTATCTTTATGACCTTTATGGAAGTTCCACCACCAATACCCAAATGACTTACATAATCACCCCCAGAACACACACACACACACACACTTGCCTAGTGATACTTTTCCCCCCCATGTTCAGGTACTATGGCAGCTGGACATCTTCAGGCGCAGTTTGAGGCAGCTCCCTGGTCACTATTGTTTAGGGGAATCATGCATCTTTTGTGCATTGAAGGTAAGAATGAAGTCATAAATCTGTATTGATAATGTTATATTTGTTTGAAAACATGCTAATGATTTTCATCTAACAGAAAAGGTCTGGTATTTGTATGCAAACAAATGTCTGCTGTTTTCTTCCAGGGCATATTCTCCCAGTTCCAGCACAGCAGGGAGCGTGCCTTGCCCTCTGATAACCTGCGTAATGCCTTGGCAGAGACCTTTAAAGACGAGCACCGCTTCCAGCTGGGCTTCATGGATGATGCCGCAGAGTGTTTTGTAAGTTCCTGTGGCAACCGGGCTTTGCCCATGGGAGGGAGAGAGGAAGGCTGTGAGGGAGGGGGAGACCAGGGTATGAAAACTGATGTTTGTGTGTTTTTATGCCAGTGGTAAATGCATAGCATCAAACTGTTTGGCGAGGTCACTCAAAGAGCATCTGTCCCTCCCCTCCCCTTCCCCTTACTCCTGCACCATTGCCTCTTAATATTGTCATGGCAGGTTACATAATCACCACGTGTGTGTCCTGACCTCTTCAGTTTATGCCACCAACGATTTAATCCTTCAGTTTTTTTGTTACATTTTGAAGAGCTGATTTCTTGCATTGATTCTTACATATTGGCTTCAGTGTTTTTGTTCTAACTGGCACAGCAAATCACTGCAAGGCCCAAAAACTTGTTTTCTCCTCAGCACAGCATTATTTTCAGTGTTTTGTTTTTTTAGTTTTTGATGCAGCTCACTTTTGAATCCAAATAAAAAAAAAAAACAGTCTTCAGCATTTCTTAACTTTACAACCTTGTTTTCCTTTGACTCAGTTTTTACTTCTGCTTAACGACCAATTGTTTTGGCAGAACCGATTTGTCCAGATTTTATTCCTCAATCTCTCCCTTATCTGCTAAGCAAGTTAAATTAGTCAGTTCTGGTTAAACAGTCAGGTAAACGTTCTTTGAACCACATTAAACCCTCCACAACACGTGCATTAAAAGATGAAAAATCAGCATTAGAAATTTTTTTTTTTGACCTGGCAGCATTGTGCATTGGAGTATTTATGAGCGGAGTTAGCCAGCGCTTGATTAGCAGGCTGTGAAGTTGTTTCATGTAACCTTTAGAAGCCCAACTGCACAGACTTAATATTTTATAAACTCACAGGCACACCATGGGGTTCACACGGTGTTGCTCTTCAAATGTGTATCTCCTGAGGTCAGGTTTGCGACTTGACAGTTGATCCGCAGGTTTGGTCTGCTTAAATATGTACAGCGTGTATGGTTGTAAAAATAAACATGGCCTGTGGGGGAAAAAGGTTGTTTCATTTTCTCCTACCTTATAGATCTCTTGTTATATTACAGGAAAACATCCTGGAGAAGATCCACATGCACATCGTGCCTGAAGAGACAGATTCTTGCACTTCAAAGTCTTGTATCACACACCAGAAGTTTGCAATGACACTTTATGAGCAGGTAAGTAACGAACTGGGCAGCATTTTGTCATGAAAGACAGTCGCTGCACCTGTCTGTAGAAATGTGATGTGAAAGTTTGTTAATTAAAGCTGGTGTATTTTGATCTCTAAGGTGGAAAATTGCTGCTAATTTTAGTTTTATTTTGACTTTCTTTACTTGTGTGAAGTGTTTGTTTGTGCACAGCCACTACACTAATGGACAAGATAAATACACACCAGCAAGTGTTAGGATTGGAATCTACACACACACACACACATACATACAAGTACACATACACATACACATAGACAGGTACATGAATCACTGTCTGAGACAGTAGAAATCCAATCCGTCATGTTTTGATAGCTGGCCGTGCCAGTGGAATAAAGAGGGTGTTTCTGGTCAGACTCCATGTTGCTGCAGCAGCACAGCCAGATAAATCAAAGATGTTGTGCACATAAATTCCAACACCACAACACGAATACCACCCAGGCCCTGTGGCGGGGATGCCCTTTAGTGACTCTGTCCACATCCCAAAACTAGTTCTGTATAGGAACCCAAGAGATAATGTGCCTTTGGGACTGAATCCCTGAGGGACTTGATGTACAAGAGGAGTCTGTGGGTTTATGTAGCATCCTTTCTTCAAAGCACTAAGAAGCAGCGAAATAGTACAAAGAACTAAATAAAAAAAGGTGTCAGTGGAACCAACTCATCATTGGATTGAATGACAACACAATGTCAATCACTGGAGTTCAGCAAAAGGCTATGATTCCTAAAAGGCTACGGCAAAATTTAAATTTATATTCATGCTTAAATTACAAATCCCTGTCTTGTGTTCTTTTCACCTCTCTTTACTGCACAGTCTGTGTGCCGCAGCTGTGGGGCTTCATCCGACCCCCTGCCGTTCACTGAGCTGGTGCATTATATATCCACTACTGCACTATGGTAAGGAACAGGGAATTTGAAACTTCCTTGTTGTCATTTTTTTTTAACATTTGTGAGAAAATCTGTTCATGTTTCTTCCTAAATTCAAATATACCCCCCTTTTTCTTTCAGTCAGCAGATGCCTCCACGAAAAGATGAGACGTTTGGTGATCTGTTACAGGCAGCAAGTACAATCGGGGACCTTCGTAACTGTCCTGTAAGTCACGTCTGATTTCACTCTTCTCCTTTCAATAGTTGTTGAATTTCTCCAGCAATGTTTCCATACTGTTGACGTTATCCTCATAATCTTACAAATGTTTTAACTTCAGCACTTTTTTTTTTACTGGTGTCAGGTTTGGTCTTTTATATTTAAGTAGGTCAGACTCATATGAGGCCTTTGATATCTTGTTTCAGAGCAACTGTGGCCAGAGGATTAAGATCAGACGGGTCCTCATGAACTCCCCAGAAATTGTTACAATAGGCTTTGTCTGGGACTCGGACCAGTCGGACCTCACAGATGATGTGATCCGCTCCCTGGGACCTCATCTCAGTCTCTCTGCGGTGAGTGTAATGTGTAGGTTTTATACAGAAAGAATAATTTAGTGTATTATATATATGTTTTTCTTCTTTTAAATTAGGGGTTGATTTAGTCAGACATAGTATGTGGGAATATAAAACGTGTTTACTATTCTGTCAGGCAGAGCTGTTGCATAAGAGGCCAGTGCTCAGTTGGGCCACAACACATCAAAAAGCCCTTGTTGGCCTTGGTCAGGTGGTCAGAATGCCCCTCCTCTCATGTCTGTGTTTTTTGGAGCATGTGTGTGCATGCCTGTCTGAGGGAACATGTGGGTGGAATAGATGTCCTCTTCTATATGTAAATCTATGTACATACTCTGTGGACGTCTATAGAGTCACATGCCTCATGGTATAAATGCCTCCAGTGTTCACTGCGGCGCGTGATCTGATTTCCAGTCTGTTTTCCAGTCTGTCAATCAATGTTGTTGAAACTAGGGTGTTCTCAATTGATGCACACATTACATAACTCCTCTATCTAAGCACACACACTGTTTGACAGCACCCTCTTGTGTGTTTCCAAAGCACACTATTGTAGGTTGTCTCTGATAAATAACCCCATTATCTAGTTGGGTTTAGCGTGACTGTATTACAGCCAGTCTTGCACTCTTGATTTATCTGCAAAATCTATTAGTGAAAAGAACTCATAGAACTAGATGTGCACCATACCCTTGGGGTGGGGTGTGTGTTCTGTGTTCTAAAACTTGCCCTAAAAGTCTGCTACAATCTCATTTATGTTCTACATTTATTCATTTTTTTCTTGTGGTTTTTAATTTAATTTGGAAAATACCAATGCAGATTAGTATTAAGGCCACCAGTGGGATTACTGTGCACAGTTGTAGTCTGGATAATAAGCGGTGCTATGACTGGGCTGATTTAAACCAGCCATAATTCTTTGTGATTGTCACTTCATTCCCTCAGACTTTAATCTATGTAGCGATTTTTTTTTCTCTGCCCAGCTATCAACATCACTCTTCAGCATGACTGTTTACTGTAGCATTGATGCTAATAAGTATATATTTATGTGTTCGTGTGGAAACAGCTCTTCTACAGGGTAACAGATGAGCATGCCAAAAAAGGAGAGCTCCTTCTGGTGGGGATGATCTGCTACACCAGCCGTCACTATTGTGCCTTCGCTTTCCACACCAAGTCCTCCAAGTGGGTCTTTTTTGACGATGCAACTGTGAAAGAGGTCAGAAAACAAATACTTTTTCCAACTACTATTCAGTGTAAGCTTTTTGGGGGGAGTAGCTTCTATCAATTCATTATTAATTGCAGTTGGCATAAATGTGGAAAAATCAACATTCTTTTTATTGCTGAAACAGATTTAACAAAGTTTATATTATAAGCAGCAGCAGAGGGGAGCCCTCCTCTATTTCTTAAGCATGGTTCTTTACATCAAATTCTCTTCATCTTTCAGAGCTGCAGTAGCATCTGTGCTTTATGCTACTGAACAGTCCTCCCTTCCCAACTCCTGTGTCTACTGCAGTTTGCTAACCCAACCATCACAAAGTACTGCAGTAGTGAAGCATAGCTTAATCAGAGAACATTTATCTGTACATTCTTTTACTGGATAAAGTAAAAAAATACATGGGGACATAGAAATCCAAATAATTGGTGTTTGTGCTGTCACTGCATGAGCAATGGGTTTATTTGTGTTCTGCAGGGGAGTTGTCCTGTGTTTGTGTGTGTGTGTGTGTGTTTACAGTGGACTTGGAAATCCTTTCATTTGTTTTCCCTTTTTCCACCCGAACACAGGCTTCATTTCTGTGCCCATCCATGCACTTGCGCAAGAACCTTTCGTGTCACATTCCAACTATTCTTGGGAACAGTAGTGCAGCGGTGCTTGGTTGGCTCTGTGTCAATCCATCAGCCACTTGTGCTGTGTGTGCAGCCCACATTCCCCCTCCCACCATTTCCCCTACCAGCACAGGGACTGAGAGTTTACTGTACTCAGCGCTTGCCAGCTCCATACCTGGATCGAAACATGCCAGCATTTTAGTCACCCCCTCCCAAATCCTTCCTGCAAAATGACTACATGACTCCAAGGGCATGCAATGTCTTTGTTTGTCACAAACTGCTTGAAAATGTCTATTCCTCACCCAACAGAAACATATTTTCTCATAAAAAAAATCACAGTTTTGAATGTAGTAAATGTGCCAGGTGCTGACAACCGTAAGACAAAAGGAGTGAGAGATTTGCAGCGCTGTTATACAGCAGCAGCCTAAAACGTTTTTTGTATCAAGGACCCGTTGGCTTAAACCAGCCAGTACTGCCGACCTGGAGACACCAGGCTAGTTGTTAAAGCACCATTTAAGAATCAGTGAATTTTCAAAATAAAACATAATTAGACTTTATTCTGTTAACATAGGAGTGTCTATAGTTTTAAAATGCTGTATTATCATTAAAATGGATAAAATAAATGGAAATAACAAAATCATTTTCAATTTGTTCTCTGCGGACCAGTACAAAATGACCCATGGATCAGTAACGGTCCATGGACCTGGGCTTGTGGACCCCTGTTATCCAGTAGCTAAAACTAGTCTCAGTAGACAAACTGTTATGATGCAAAGGTTATTCAAACTCTTTTTGCCGGTAACACGAATGTTGATTTTTAACCCCAGTTTTCCAGTAGTATGCACAGTAGTGATTATAGGTAATAATTAATCTACTGCCCTCTTCTATATACTTATTAACATTAAAAAAACACACAGCAGATTGTGTCAGCTACTGATCAATCTGATGGATTTTGAGCTAATCTCTACCGCACCTTTTCTGCTTACTGTTCTTTCTTCTTTACCTCATTCCTTTGACAGACTCTCTCCCACCTACACACCCAATCCCCCACCCTGTCATTTGCTTAATTAAGGAGCACACAAGCATCTGTTTGCCTGCAGCTTGCATTACCGGTGCCTGTGTGGCGAGACACGCACCTTACACAACTTGGCTAATTGTGGTTGTGTGATTTAACCTGGGTTTGTGATTTCCTTCCCCAAAATAAGCTATGAATGAACATTGACTGGTGTTGATTTATCTAGCAACTGCTTGAATGCATTTTCCCAGTTCAAATAGAAGAAAAACAATTAAATATTTTTCTGTAAAATGAAAGGACATGAAGTCAGAATGATTAAAAAAAGTCACAGTTGCCTGAACAGCACAGTGCACACGTCCACGATTGAGTGAAACCTCCATTCCAATCCATCTTCAAATCAACCAATTCTGCAGGAAAGCGTGTGAAGTGAACTATTTACTGTTAGTATTTTTATCACCCAATCTTCTGTTCTTTAATATTTTTTTGTTTTCTCTTATAGATCGGCTCCAGGTGGAAAGATGTTGTTACCAAATGCATCAAAAATCACTTTCAGCCCCTCCTCCTCTTTTATTCCAACCCTGATGGAAGTGCCATCAGTGCAGATAATGCCTCAAAACCAAACAGCAGCCAGTCCCAGACCCAAGGTATTTTTAAGTCTGACCTGGATTTGAAGCAAATAAGAAAGAAGCAGCAGAGAAACAGAGTAGAAGATGAAATCAAACATATTTCTATACTTTTTGGTATGCAGAGGACACACTAGTTTCCTTGCATGCTTGGAAAAAGGAGGCGTGAGCTCGTTTTTTGTTTTTTTTTAAATTTTATTATTTGTTTTATAGCGCAGTCTCACCATTAGCTGTCATGACTTATCGCACGCTGAACCTATAAAGATGCTCCCTCGACAATTCACATCATATCCATCAGACAAGATGCAGTGTTAATTTAGCATCTTTTCCGTTCAAATTCCTCCGAGGTGAATTAATCAGACTCCTTAGTATTTTACCAATATACCATCTACAGCCTCATCTTTGATGATAATTCGATATCATGAAATACATCTATAAGGCTTAGCTTTGCAAGTAGCTTGTTACTTTGTCATTGTTGATGTATATGCGGTGTAGAATGTAAAAAGAATCAGTACAAGGAAAAATTCGACTCAAGGTGTTTCAATGCAGTGTCAGCCAAAGGGTCATGGGCTTAGATTTGATATATAAAAAATTGTTTGAAAGCTTGCCTGGACCGTGCTCCGGTAAATTTTCCTTTTTTATTTCTAGCTGGAGTTGTGTGTTTGATTTAGTAATGTATCTCATAACACTTTAAAGTAGTTCAACTCCAGAACTCCAGCAGCATCTAAAATGTTTGGGTCACTGACTTATTGAAAAGAGCCATGAACATGTAGTAAAATCATGTGTATTTTCTTTTTTCCTCTTTCATAGTCACTGACTCTCCAGTGTCGGTCCCTAAGAAACTGGACCTGACCATAGAGAATCTGAACAACTATTTGAGCCAAGGCTCCTTTACAAAGAAAACCCCGTCAACATTGAGCAGGGGGAGTGGTCAGACCAGTGGAGGAAGGGGACCGGGTAAGAGATGAAAAATGTATTTGTGTATAACCTGTGTAGTTTAATCCAGTCATGTCAAAAACACTGATAAACACTGATACACTGTTAGTAGAACCACAACACCATCACCTGGCGCCACAACATTTTAGAGTACCAGAAAAAAAAAGAGAACAAAGTCTGTGCGGTGTTGCATCTCCCTTCTTTTCCTCTAATGCACCTTGTATATCAGCACAGTGATATGTTGTTAACTTGGCCTCTCGACACGCTCGGCAATCGCTCTGTGCCCTGGGGTGTTTCTGGGGAATAAGGGGTGGAAAACAGTGAGGAGGAATAGGATGCTGTGACAACAGACTTCTATATGTTCACTGGGATAAAAATAGATTTAATGGTGTGCAGCAGAGGAAATCCCCATCTGATTCAGCACTATTTAGATTGATGATATACCGAAACAAACTCCTGATGGTAAATAGAGAAATCTTTTTTTTAAATATTTGTAGTGAAGACGTCCAGCGATCCCAGAAGTCGTGTCAAGGAGATTCCTCGAGAAGTTGCCCAGAAGGCAGCAGAGATGCGAGGGATGCGTCCAGCCAGAAGAGAGCCGGAGAGAGGTCAGCGGAGAGCGGAGACACGTCACAGAGGTTGGTTAGAGCCATCATGTGATTTTTTGCCATAGACTTACACAGGAAGTTCAGTACATTTTCCACAATTTCCAGCCTTTATGACACAAAAGGGTGCCCCTCCACTTCCCCAGCCCTTATGTAACCATCGTTTCAGAAGCAATGTGTCAGAATGGGATTAAGTGCTGACGTGCGTAAGAGTCTGCCTTGATCCCACTCTAATGTTCAAAGTATTGAGCATACACAAACATTCACAGCTATCACACACACGCACATTGCAAAAAGAAACAGATTAAATCAAATTGACCTTAATACCAACAATTTTCTGCATCTCAGCGTCCTTGATTCTCACAAATTGAGTTTGTTTGTGTCTCATCTAATCACCAGACTGATTGGTCAGCTTTAGCACTCCTTTAGTACATCACCACTTTGAATTAAGTATCAGTGAGGGGATTAAGGAACAAATAGCAGTAGCCTGGGTTAGCAGAGGGCTCGGTTCACTTACATTATAAGTGAATGTAGTCTCACAAATTTTCCAGCATGTTGAGATGGTGGGAGGGCTGAAACACTGTTTGATGTTGGATCAGTCTGGGTCAGCGTTTGACTCAAAACGACAGCCTTATAAAAACTGAATAAATGTGGAAAATGAAGCTCCAGCAATATTGCTGTTTATAGCTTGCTGTTGGATAGCCTCAGGGAATTACTGAATGATCTGTGCGTATTGATCCGAGGCTAAAATGATTTGCGGTTTTGTGTGAGTTGACAACACCTACCTGGCAGCAGATGCATGCCGCTGTTATATACAGTAGATGAGCAGGAACAAAACAAGCGGTGTTTGAAGTGATTTAACCCTGACTCACAGTCAGCAAAATCCAAGAGCAATAGAAGATCTTATCACATGGGATAAATTGCCAAGGCTGACACTTTAGTGTGGCACTAAATTTATTTATTTAACCTGAGAAGATTTTCACACTGGATTGCTTTTTCTGAAGACTCCAGTTGCCTGGGTCAGCCAGATTCCTTGATAATATTTATGCTTAAGGTAGATGCATGGCTGCATTGGTAATTTATGGCTTCACGAACAGAAATTATTTTGTGAGGGCCATTATGGTGCTCTGGGATTTTCTTGCAGCATGCGCCTATAGTTGCCTACAATTATAATTACCACCAGAAGTTTTCTTTGAATATAAAGTACTTTCCAAATGTCTTTCCTCTAAGTGTAAAAACACCGCTGCACTTTTAAACCAAAAATACTGAACATAACCTCTTGGTACGTGGGTTGTAACCTCTAACTCGGGAGAAAACTGACTCCTGTTGTTTGTTATTTACACCTCCCTGTCACCTGGAGACATAAATGTCATTTGTTATCCTGTTCTGGCAGTGTCTCTCCCTCACTCTCTGTACTCTCTCATGCTGTGTTTTCATTTGGACAGCTTTGTGTCTTGGTGTCAATGAAAGTCCCTTTTGTGTCCCAGTGCCATAATTCACTGCTGCTGACTTTTGCCTTTCAAGATCTGCTGTTTTATTTTTCCAAAAAATATGTTTTTATTCATACGAAAGCATTTAATTATGTATTTGTATTTTGGTTACACTTAAATAAAATGAGCAACAAATTTCAACAAATAACTCATGAAACATTGTGTTCTTCTTCACAGATCCAGGCCATGACAGAGCATACTCACGCTCTGTCTCTCCCCCAGAGAATGGTTTCAAACAGCACGTTGAGACACGACTGTACAGCAGCCAAGGAAAAGGCCCGACTCGGGCAGAGCGGACACCCCACTATGGCGGACGGTCCTCCCATGAACCTCCTCAGTCTAACTCCAGGGTCCATGTGCTGCCTAAGGTACCCAGCATCAGCGGCAACCACCACAGCCGCAGATTAGACCAGGTTTCCAATGGATATGACACTGACAGCAGCCAAGACTCTCGGGATCGCTCCGGAGTAGAAGGGAACAGTCGCAGCAGGGCAAGCCGTCCCTGGAAGCCCATGCGAGAGGTCCTGAACGTGGACAGTGTTTTAAGCAGCATTGAAGACGGTTATTCTACAAGTCGTGAGAGACGGCAGCACAGTCCCAGGAGGAGGCCCAGCAGCCAGTCACCTTCCCGTGACCGTGAGCTTGACAGAGACTTCACGTGGGGAGGCCGGGAGGAACGCAAACCTAAGAGCCTGATGACCATCTACGAAGACGAGCAGAGGCATGAAACCAGTGGTAGTAGAAGTTCGCTGGAGTCAGATGGCCGGGGAGGCTACAGTGACAAGGACAGATTAAAAGGCTCTGCGACTCTAAAAGTGCGGAATGACAACTGGAAGATCCAGAGAACCGAGTCAGGATATGAGAGTAGTGACAGAATAAGCAATGGATCAGCAAATCCTGACTCCCCCGTAGTAGAAACCTTCTCTTCCAAGGACCTGAGGCCTATTCCTGAGCTGAACCTATCGAGGTAAAATAAAAATGTTACGTCCAAGTAGTTTTATTTTTTTCTTTTTAAAAATCTTGCATTTCACTGCTGCTATATTTAATGAAATAATTAAACATTACAAGCTGTTCTAAGAATAGCAAAGCCTTATTTAGCATAAATGCTCACGAGGCAGTTATGCCGAAACATATTATTCCGGGTACATTGTGCTGGGCTGGCATTGTGATTGGTGGCTTTGTAGTAGAGGATCATCGTTGCGATAATGATCCCTGCTAGCTGACAACTCCTGTACTCTGAGCCAGCAGATAGCAGCCTCCGTCAGCTGCTGGTGCATTATTTAAGCCCATCTCCTGATAGCATATCAGTTAAGTGCTTCTCTATTATTTATCATTTAACATATAGTTGAAATGTTGTGACTAGGATCTGGCCTGAGGTCACAGATTCTGTGCAGTTTTTTTGACATGTGCAGAGTGTGTCACCATTATAAATCTTTTGGTGTGTTAAATAATTCAACCCTAGCCAGTCATACCCTGTCATAGTAGACCCTTTTTTACTGCTTGCATGCTTTTCTATCCACTTATGGCATACCTTGTGTCGGTCCAGTGCGTGAATATTTAAATTTACTTGCTTCTTTAGGGATCACTTCCCACCGAGAAGCAGCGAGGATTCGAAGGCTGACATTCTGCCGTCCACATTTTCCACCAGTAAGTAGATCAGTTTTACTTTGACCTGCCTCTCTCTCTCGCACGCTCGGCCTCTGTCTCTCCCTCTCCCTTTTCCTGAAGCTCCATATAGGAAAGAATTGCTATGCGTAGACCTTCGGTGGTTTTATTTTCATAGAAGTATGAAAATGTTGAATTCAAAGCCCGTGACAGAATTACACCTCCTGCATTTTACATAATGGACACAGGTCACAGAGTACCGTTGTGTCACAAAGACTTGCCCCTGACATTAAAGACATTTCCTCAGCCTAATAAACTCCCCCCTGTGTTGTAAGGATCAAACATTAAGATAGTCGTCAGCAATTTCCTTGATTTATTGTTCCAGCAATAGTCTTAAGGTCACAGCCTGATTGAGGGGATACTGTATGGAAATCAGTTTGCTTTGCTACCCCAATGACTGGCCTTGACCTTTTTTTCCCACTTCCAGCCACATTTAGGATATGCAGCACAAAGAAAAATGAACATGGGCTCGAAGAAAACACAGTCAGGGATGTGACTGTGTTACATTAAACCAATAAATAAATAAATTGAAATCTTGTAGATAATGAATGTAAAAGATGATGGCTATTTTAATTAAATCATAATTTTAGAGTCTGAAATGTCAGATGTATTTGTCTCCTTGTTTGTATTTTTTAGTTAGTTTGTCAATTAATTGTATAAAGTTTAATATAGATAATATATTATAACAGGGTTTCTATAGTGAACATATCACAGTGATTTTACCACCACTGCCACCATATTCTACCTGTTACTGTTACTCTACCCTAATTATCAAACACCCTAAATAGAAAACATACGCCCATATTTTTAACACCACATAAGGCTTTAAGTGCTTAACTCATTGTCTATCTCTGCTGTAGTCGGCCTCATTTTGAGACGTTTGGTGCCAATCTGCATTTTCCTTGATTAAGGTCATTTTAGTTATCAATCCAAAACAGTCTGCTCAGATTAAGAAGGGGCCAGACTTCTTCATCGAAGAATTTTGGGCACGGGTCTCCAGGGGATTTTGGCTTGCACGCCAGTGTATTTAAGAAATCTTAATCTTACCATCTTATTTACAAGGCTGCAAATAAATTGCGAGCTGATTGACTGATCTTGGCTGCACCAAAACGAGATGACACAGTTAACTCCAGGTAAAAAAAAAAGAATATATATAAATATATATATATATATATATATGTATATGTATATATATATGTATATATATATATATATATATGTATATATATATGTATATATATATGTATATATATATATATATGTATATATATATATATGTATATATATATATATGTATATGTATATATATATATATGTATATGTATATATATATGTATATATATATATATGTATATATGTATATATATATGTATATATATATGTATATATATATGTATATATATATGTATATATATATATATATATGTATATGTATATATATATATATATGTATATATATATATATGTATATATATATGTATATATATATATATATATGTATATATATATATATGTATATATGTATATATATATGTATATATATATGTATATATATATGTATATATATATGTATATATATATGTATATATATATATATGTATATGTATATATATATGTATATATATATATATATATATACATATACATATATATATATATATGTATATGTATATATATATGTATATATATATGTATATATATATGTATATATATATATATGTATATGTATATATATATGTATATATATATGTATATATATATGTATATATATATGTATATATATATATATATGTATATGTATATATATATGTATATATATATGTATATATATATATATATGTATATATATATATATATATCAAGTTACCAAAACCAATGCCTTATAACTAATCTTATCTCCTTGTGTTATGAGGTTTGTTCTTCGTTGGCTATTGTGACCCACCGTGTGCAAATTATATCGATGAGCTGCAGCATATGAAATCAATTTGGCCTGGTTCAGCTGTGGTAGACAGACGAGGGGGGGAGGTGTTCCAGAGTGGCCTGAGCAGATACAGTAGCAGTAGTCTATTAAGTTACAAAAATCCCATTTAGGAAACATTCCAGCAGGTGGGGGTGGTAAAGAGGACGCAGACAACCATTTTGACCTCAGGCATTTATCTTAATGATCGCTGGCTGCATCACACTGGCGATCTTTAACCTTTTGCGATCACCTTAATGATGACCTCGCTGTCCGGTTGTGCATAAATCTCATTGATTCACATCATGCTGTATTACATGGGAGATTACAGCAGAACATGCATCCTGTGTGAAAGGTCATTACTTTCAGGAGACCGGATGGGAATTCCAGACACTCGAGTCTGCAATCTAGACGGTAAAACATGCAGCTACCTTAATTTAAACTGATTGTATGTGGCACCAACTGCAGAGTCGATGAGAAACACACTCGAGAAGCCTTTAGGTTTCCGTTTGCACTCATTAATACCTAAATAGGCAGAGGAAACAACAGGGAAAGGTTGTAAAACTTTGCTTCCAACTCCTTTTCGGTTTGCCTTCTGTGTTTGTGTTCATGTTTATGGGTGAAGTCAGTTCATCATTTTAATTGGTTTATACAGTATATATCCATCCATCCATCCATTTTCATCCGCTTATCCGTTTCCGGGTCGCGGGGGCAGCAGTCGCCACCCAAATCACATTGCACCGTACCAAACCTTCCTGCGGGTGGTGAGTCCACTGGAAGGTACCAACCGCCCTAACCGGGATTCGAACTTGCCCAGGAGGTGAACCCTGGGGTTCCACACCAATGACAGAGACATTGCCTCTGGGCCAAAGCGCCACTTATACAGTATATAACTCTGCTTTATCGCACATGGCTTAACCTTCCCATTAAAACGTGCAGAAAGTGACTCAGTTGAGGTGGATTTTTTAATACTCTTTACACATTAATAACTTAGACCCAGGTCAGCTTCTACTAGGTTAATTAGGAATTGAAGTCGAATAAGTAAATTGTATGAGTCTAAATTATTCTCAAGAACTTTGAAACACCCAAGGCAGCACAATTCAGAACAGTACACGTCTCAGCTTGACAGCCTAAGAAATAGGATGTTGAAGAGTTTAGGGTACTTTTTGATGCGTCGACATAACTTCAAAAGGCCTGTCACAAAATTTCTGTTTTACAAAAGCGGTGATAAACGGCTTGCTTTCCTAATGTGCCGGAGCGAAGCTTCCATTTCTTGTCTGACTTTGACAGCTGGAATAATTGAAATGATGTCAGACCACTTCACTGCTCCCTTCTTCACTCAAAACCTAAATTTATTTTTTTTCTCCAAAAACAGCAAAACACAAGCAGGTGTCTCTCCTGAAACGTAGAGGTGTCGTTTTTGATGTAATGGGGTCAGAAACGGGTCCGTTAGGCTGTTTATGTCAAGGAAAGAGCTTAATTCTTAACACATCCAACACTTATTTTTAACAGGTTATGTTTCGATGCAGTGGCAGCAGCTTCACTTTCTTTAATCCTACTTAAGTGAACATTTGGACTAAATTCTGAACCCTGAACATGAAAAATGTAAAAACTTTGAAGATACATCAGTTGAATTTATCTCAAAAAAAACAACAAGGGGGTTATTTATACTGCGGATAGAGCTTCAGTAACTAATTTTTTTTGTAACGATATTGTCACATTATCTGGTTAGTGGTGTGGATCAGTGGCATTATATTGTGAATTGTCGAATGGGCTTAAAATTTAAAATATGTAACTGTGTTGTGTTGGGAGTCCGGAGTCTGACCTTGGTGTAATTGCATGGCAGCACAAAGGATTTAGCTGCTAATGCTCAGAGTGTGGGGGGAGTAAAGTTATGCTGACACATCACAGATGGTCTTCAGCCACTCATTCACTCTCTTCACTGTCCAGTTAGTCAGCTGTTGTCTGTCTGAGGCCTTGTAAATCACACCCTCACTGCTAACTTGACACCAGCCATTGAGGCACTTGTTTTTAAATATGTCTGTCTTCATTTCATCTGCTTACATCTGTTAATGCTATATGTTTACAGCTTAGGTTATGATTGCATGACATCATTACCATTCAGACTTATAATTTATACCTGCTTTATTATTTTGTGTATGTGGTCCAACCTCTGCATCAGCCTGGGTTCACTCAAGGTTCTTATTCTTTCATTAGCCCAAAGCCAGGAGGGTTGGGATATGAACTCAAATTCCCTTTCAGGGGCCCTGTTCTTTGGTCAGTTCAGACAGTCAGTGGTACACAGTGGGCCTTAGGGCTCTCTGCCAGACGAGCTGCTTTGATATTTCCTCTCCCAGCCACCAGGCCCAGAGAAGGCCTCAACATGACCCTGTTAGATAACATGTTTTTGCTCCAGAGGTTTGGAGAAACATTCTCTATACAGTATTTTCTAATCACAACGAAATATATTTTGTCTTAGTTTTTAACTATTTGACTAAATGGTAGTGCTGGTATAAAATGTTCACAAGACGTTGTTTCTTTTCAGATGAAGAAGGAAGAAAATCTCCTGACCTTTACGATGCAAACATCCTCTCTGGACATCTCATACAAAGGTAAAACCATGCTTGAAATGTTAAGGTGCAAATGTTAAGTACTGTACAACAATGTAAATAAAGTCTGCAGGATGCACTGAGTGACCCCAAACACTTCCTTACTGGCAAGATTTAAAAGACTGATTGAGGGGGTGCTGTATGGAAATCAGTTTTCTCAAAGTCGTCACAGAAAAATAAGGATATAATCGAATAGTTACAAAGACCAAAAAATATTCACAATAACCAGCTTTTTGTTTGGGTTTCAAACATGCTTACCATTTATGTTTTTTTTCTTTATACCTCTTATAAATGTGGTGCACATATGACACAAAGTTTTCCAGTGCTCCAGTATTCCAGTACAGTATGTTACTGTAGACTTATTACTAAGAATACAGACCTATCTATCTATCTATCTATCTATCTATCTATCTATCTATCTATCTATCTATCTATCTATACACTAATAATTGGGCTTAGCTCATAAGCAATGTAATTTTTAAAAATTCTTTTTATTTTTACAACAGGAGAAGAGCATTTCGTTACACTCCAGGAATCTTGGAGAGAATCTCAGCTACGGAAAGTGAACAGGAGGAAAACGTGGACAGCAGCCCAGTGAGCCCAGCGCCTCCTTACTTAGCAAAGACCAGCAGTTCTGAGTGGAACAGTTCAGATGACCTTGCTGGACCCTTTTCTGAACAGGAGGAGACAAGCACGGCTGCTGACATCAACCCTTTGATGCACAATTTTCCTCCTCCTTTAGTCATCAGGACCTTTGCCCGTGACGCCGACCCATCTGGTGTCCAGTCCCCACCGCCTGAGGTGCCAGTGCGGTCAAGCCCCCGCAGTGAACTCAAAAATGGCTCATCTCTCTCACACACCGCCCTCCGACGCTGGATTGAGACACCCGCAGACAACAGACTCTCATCCAGCGCCAGCTCCAGGTCTGGTTCGTCCGATCAGGACAGGAATGATTTGTCGGCCAGCGAGAGCGAGGAGAGGCAGCCCAGTCCGCAGCCGAGACACGTTGATGGTACCCACTCTCCTTCTGTGACAGATGCTGTTCTTCCCACCACTTACTTTTCCGTAGACAGCTGTATGACAGACACTTACAGGGCCAAATACCATAAAAGGCCAGCTTTATACATGAAGGCAGAAGACCATGTATCATCAGGGGAAAGTGATACTGAAGGGAGAAACCTCCCTCAGCCAGATGTTCATTCACCAGAGCCTTCCAAAGGGCAATCAGAATCAGGTCGGTGTCATACAAGAGTTACTGTATGGCAATGTTTGCATCATAGATCGTATATTACAAATGGATAATCTCCTTTAATAATGCAGGATGAAGTTGAAACCAGAGTGGCTTTGCTTTTTGCAGAAGTGAAGCAGTTTTTGAAGGTCTATGTACATATCCTTCTAAGTTACTTCAGGAATTCTCTTACTATTGTATGAAGTGCCTTCAAACCAAATTGAAAGTCTTTTTTTACACGTTGCAGACAATTCAACTGTCAATTCCATCCTCTCTCACCTCTTGTTGTTCCTTTTCCTCTTCACATGCAATCATAATAAACAAAACTGACCTCTTTCAACAAAGAGCAGGACTTCTCACTTGAGACAGTTGGTTTGTCTAGATCAGTGGTTACCAAACATTTTCCTCAAAACATCTTGTTACAAAAAGTTAAAAATAAATGCAAAATATGACACAAATAAATAAAATACCAAAAATTATTTTTATTTAAAAATGCTTTTGTTATTCTCTGATCAATAACAAGTTCGTTGTGCCACCCTTGGGGGTGCCCGCCCTGCACTTTGAGAACCACTGGTCAAAAGCACTTTTTTATTTGAGTTAGTGTTTACATAGACAAATATACAACTACCTCACTTTTGTAAACAGTGGACTACTTCTGGCTGAATCTGCAGCTTTACTGTCTGGGCAGCTCCGCTTTTCTTCTGCTCTCATAGATACTGTTTGTTTATGGTTTGCATGGATTAATTTGCCAACTTCTCTCTTGCAGGCTATTCCACCTCCAAGATCACAGCAAAATGGAATCCAGTCTCTTCGAAAGGACTGGACGAGCACGGATTCTTATGATTCCCCTGAGCATCAACGATGACTTTGACTGGTAAACAACAGGAATTCATATGCAATGTGGGAATGTTCCATTTACTTGTAATGACATGGTCATAACAGGACTGAGTGCCAAAGAGATTGTATGTGAGCAGCATGTGTCCTTAAAGCTATGTGGATTTTATCATAACCTATGGCAGAGTGAATTTGCACAGTAGAAGGTACTGAGGAGTTGTAACATGTCATGTTAATGTTGATGATGATTTGAGCTTGTGTCACTTTAGTGTGCTGTACAACTCCAAATTTATTTTACAGGAAGACTATTTCATACATTTTGTAGATCTTTGAAATCCTCAGTGGATTCTTTGACTTTACGTTCACTTGTTCTAGTGTTACGAGGTGTCTGTCCCAATTCTGTCTGTTTTGCTTTTTCTTTATACTGTTTTTTGATGAACACAAGTTGTCACTGACGTAACAAGCACAGTTTTCTAAAGTGGAAAAAAAAAATCCTTCTAATCACTGGACTCTTGCTTTTAGCACGACTGAATCCCAAGGATTCGTGTGAATGTGAAGCTCTCTTTGTGTTAAAATGAGACAGGTTACAACTTGTTTACTGTTGGTACGTGGCGTTTGATGACTCTCAGACAGTGTTCAAAGAACCAGCTGGCCACCAGGGGCAAAACGTGATGGGGTGAATGACGTTCTAAAGTAATTGCATAAAAAAAGTTGTGGCATGTTGGTCGCCATGGTTTGAAACTACTTTCTTTCAACAATGATCTTTGCACTGTGTTCTTTTAAAAAAACATACACTCCATTTAATAATAAAAAAATATTTTTCTTTATCTTGTGAAATTAATACTCTTATGCACAATGCAGAATTTAAAAGCTTAATTTAGAAAATGGGCTTGCCTTTTTTTGTTTAAAAACATTCATGGTCTTAACCTGAAGAGTGGACAATTTTGGTTTGATGTTTCATATGCAACAGACTAAAGCACAGTGCCTTTTGTATTTTTCTATGTGTACACGTTAGTGGGATGGAGGCAACGATATTTGTACAATAATTCAACTATAAGAGTTTTCTAACATTTTATTATATTTTCTATTGTTAAAATGTTGTTAAATAAACATGTTTATTTGACCCTATCTGTGAGACAAGCCCTGATGTGTTTGATTTTACAGTATCTAGAGTTGATACTTCTTCATAGTAAAGTCTCATGAATGCTTAACTAGGGATTTGTATAAATGAGTTCAGATAAAAAGAAATTTCTATGTTTTGTATATGAGTTCAGATAAAAAGAAATTTCTATCCTAAATAAACGTATAATTTTATTGCAGCTCAATAAAAGAATACCAAGAAAAGTGGGACTTTGCTGCCATCTGTTGGTTATTTTAGGGTACAACTGTTCTTGCAGTTTCTTCATGGACTTGCACTTTCTACGATTTGTTTGTAAACTTGAACATTTTTATTTTGAAGATATTAGCCATGATCTCACTTTAAATTATTTTAAAACGTATTCGATGCTTACTTTAACGTGTTGTTTTTCAAAAAAGGTTTTAATTTTGTACAAAAGTAGGCTTTTACTTCCTGCAAATTAAGATGCAAATATTTAGTTTTACTAAATATATGTAGTCTCTAAAGTGAAAATGTCACAGTGGACAACCAATGACCAGTAAATATTATAATTGTATCCAAACTTCTATGCATCAAATTCATATTTTGCAACTCACCATTTTTGATAACTCAAAAATCAGATTTCCCTTAAATGAAAAATCCACTTCTGTGACTGAAAGACCTGAGGGTAGAACATTATCCTTCCAAGATTTCCTTTGCACGCCAGAAGATGAGAAATAAATAGCTACAGATTCACTACATTCAGAGAATCCTGACATTTTCTGTCATTCAATAATCTGCTCCTTTCAGCATGACAGGTCTGTCTACTGTGTCTGTGTGTGTCTCTCTCTGTGTGTGTGGATGTTTGAATTATTCCTTGATATCTCTATAGGGCATTTTTATGTAAACACTAATCAGGTAAAGACCATCCAAAGACCCAATATCCATCTAAACTTTGTTATTTTGTCTATAACTTTGGTTGGAGTTTTAATTGAATAATTTCACTATATTGTTGATGAGGTTAGGGAATAACTTTGCTGTAGACTGTCTAGGGAAGAATGGCTGTGTAGTGTGTGTGCGTGTGTGTGTCTTCTCCAGCATCCATCAGAGTGGAACTGTCCTGTCAGCGTGGGCTCCTCCTCTGCAGCTGCCGTACTTCATTAGGGGCCATCAGAAAAGCTCAGTGCGCCACTGTCAGGAGTCAAAACTCCTGCCTTCTCCTCCCCTACTCCTCTTGCTCTCTCTACCCTCCTCTCTCTAAGTGTCCCTCAAGCTCACTCACATCCTACACCTCCGTATGATTTCTCATTCTGTCAGCTAACTTCAGTCTTTTTCTTGCTTTCTAATTTTCTCCTGACCTGACACTGCACCCTCTCCTGTCTCACACTGCTCTCCGGTTAAATCCTTATTTCTCTTGACAGGGATTTGTTTCCATCATTCACTTTGTTTAACCGGGGCTAGTGTAAATAATAAATATTTTTGCAAACAGTTATGGTGCCTTTTAGGGGAGCGTTTTGTAAGAATTGTAAACTTTGAACGAAATATAATCCAGGGAAAGAACAAACAAATAACGGGATATAAATAACATTTTCACGAAAGTTATTAGTCGTAAATAAATTAAAACATGCCCCCCCCCCAAAAAAAAAAAACAAAACAAAACAAAACACAAATAAACATAATTACGTTTCATCTGAACTTGTATAACGTTCAGCAATGTTTGTTGCTGGCCAATTTAGGCTAATTGAAAGAGCCAGATGTTCTTGAACGCAACGTCAAGGAGCCACGTCACAGACGCTTCCTAATTAGAGACACCTGGTGAGGGTGACTGATACGAACCTGTCGCTTCATTCAGGCGATTTGTACAAATTTACTAAGGAAAATGAAAATATGCAATTAATACTTGCATCTGCAGATTAGTTTCCGCAGAGTAAAGTAAATATTAAATAATTCTTACCTTCTGAAGGTTTTTTGTTTGTTTTCTTTTTGTTTTATATTTATTCAACTTTTCCGTGGAAGGCAGCGCTCCCAAACGTCTAAAGTCAGTCGTTGGTAAGTTATTTAAAGCCAAAGTATTTTGCAACTGTTCAATTAACTATACTAAAATAAATAAACCAAGCTAAATTAAATTATGTGGTACATTAAGTCAATATATGACTTTATTGGGAGCAAAGCATTTTTAATGTCTAAAAATACAATACAAGTCATTCCTTGTCCTACTGGATTTTCTTAATGCAGTCAATGTGACCTTTTTACATTTATTGTTTTTTCTAATAATGGAATAATATTCATTGCCTTGTTCAAGCATTTATTTTATTAACATGTATTTCAGTCCTTGTTGCTTCACTGTTGTTTTGGAAGACCCCTGGTTGGTTCAGGTTTTTTGACTATGCCATTCACACAGTATTGTCTTCTACTGTGGGGATCATATTCTATGGGTTATATGTAACATCTATTGCCAAATAATTCATCATTTGAATATTTCCTTAACAATTGTTTACCTGCTTGTGGCTCATCTTTCTGGTTTGACGTTGTCTACAGCTTGCTACATAAAATTAATCTATTTTCTGCCAGTAGTTTTGTGAATTGCGTTGAACTTGTAACAAGTTTCACCCCAGTTTTTGACATGTTGATATATTTGTATGCCCTTCTGTTTGACAGTGTCACCTGTTTATTCTCTCAGGACTAAAGCAAATGCATTTGTGTTTCCTATGATGCTTTGACAAATTACAACATCATTTCTAACCTGTTTTTATTAATATTAGCATATCATTGTTTAATCTTAATTCAGATCTTTATTAAAGTTCACAAATAATAAGGCCATTAAGGAATTTGCGAAATGCTGAAAGGGAAAAAGAGAGTATGAATTTTAAGCTTGGAAACATTCCTGAAATATCTTAAAATGACCATTCATTTGACTTATGTACAGTTAATAGTAAATATTTAAGTTTGAGTGTATATTTGAGTTTTGCCCTGTAGGTTATGCATTTTGATTTTATTTAATTGCTTTTTATTGCTCATTTTAAACTCTTAAACTTGTAAATATGCAGTTTAAATAAATATTAATTAAAATTCATTTAGACCTAGTAAAAACGAAATCTTGGGGGAAAAAAATACAATTGATAATTTAATGTTTTCCAAGAAATGTTTAACTCTACGGCCAAAATCTTCCCAATGCTGCCTACACTCAAATATATGTAAAACTGCTTGTAAAAATGCCCTCGAATTGAACCCAAATCCTCAGCAAATATGTTAAAAAATGATTTATTATTTATATTTTTCTACAAACTAAAAACCCAGGAGTAGTTCATAAAGCACAAGGAACCATGGCATCTGCTGTATATTTTGAAACCTCTGTCCATCACTCTGCCTCCTCACTTTTCTCATATCTTCTCCTTCCTTCTTCATTTTCCTATCACGATTTTTTTTTTTTTTTTTGTCATTCTTACTCAGCAATCCACCTCATGCCTGGCTGTGTATGCAGAAATATGGGGGACACACACACAAGCCCTGGGCCTCTGTTCTTGTTGTCATGCTGACAAGCAGTAGGAACAGGATTATGGATAGAAGCTCCTTTCACATGGTGCCCAAGAGAGTGTGAAATCTGATTGCTTTGGGAGATTTAAAATGGGATCCTGTGAGGTCACTGGAATCCTAAATATGAACAGGCTGAAAAACTGCTGCAGTACGGTGTGTTGTGTTCCGTGGATTAACCATAACTTCAAACCTCAAAGCTTGCTTTAACAGAAGGGAGAACACCAGACGCTGTATTAGTGTGACAAGGCGGCATGTGCTACTTCGAATGTTGATACATATTGAGCAGAAATTAAACAGTGCTATACCCTAGACGACCGCTAGGGAGCATTGAAGCATCGTGTTTCTGTAGCACTTCCATCCTGAGGCCGTTTCCAGTCCAAATCTCACCCTCGTGAGCCTCTACTTCTCTTCGTGAAACAAAATCACCTTAATGACTGCTTCTTGCAAAGAAATGGTTGTATAAGATCCAGACCTATGAAAGCTGTATGCAGGGACAGAAAACAGACGCATAGAGCAGCACTTTTTTTTCTCTGTCTGTGTTTCCGTGTTGGTGCGCCCTGCTAGACACAGGTTGAGATTAGGGACATGGTGCCAACCTTGTGTTTTGCTGAAAGGCTTAGCAACGGTAATAGACAAGTGTTGTGATTTGGAAGGTGGACGGAATTTGCCAGCATATGCTGTGTAACATGAATTGTTTACACTTGCTGCATGCCTTCATCACACTAACTATATATTCTTTTCGTGGTGTTTTCTCCTTTTAGTGTGTATGTCAAACTGCAGTAGTTTCTGATGGTGATATCAGTGTTCTTTTTGTTTGTTTCTGCTGCCTTCATGCAGTGTGTTTTTCTTCACCTGCGACAGTTGGCTTCCATTGTGTGGAAAACAAATCAATGTCATGCAAGGATCTATAACACTCCAAAAAGCTCTTACGTACATGTATGAGAATAATTCCAATGAAAAGAGAGACATAACTAAATTTCAAATGTGACTTTCTTGTAACAAGTACTCAAAGTAATTTTAGGTATACTTCCAGCCAAAAAAGGCTGAAGGAAAAAAAAATAGATCAAAGGACTATCAGGTTAGTTGTCATTTTAAAAACAGATTCAATGAACCAGTTGTCATTTTATATTTAAAAATAATAATAAAGTAAAAAAAAAAAGTACTTGTATGTGAAATATCTGTGGCACCTGAATCTAGACGTTTTAATGAATAAAGTCCTGACAAATATATTTCCTCGATGCATCAGTGGACTATTTTACTAATTCAAAATAAAAAAGGACAGAGATAAAACAAACACTTTAGTAGACACAGTAGCTATTTGTCTGATTATCATTTATTTAAAATGTGCTGCTTTTTAACTAAACCAAACCAATCATTACAATCATTGCTTACAACATACAAGGCCTTTACAAAAACATTGAAAATGTCGCTTATCAACACCTACAGCTGCCAACACTAAAAGATATGCCTGTTGTGATGTTTTAATGTTATGATCATGTGGTATGTCGTGATATGTTATGTTGTATTCTTTCTTAATTGTATAGTAAGTGTTTCTATATGTATTTTGTATTATATTGTATATGTATTGTGTGCTCTCTGCCTTTTTACGTCACATTTTAACCATGTGTAATCATGTGTTTTATGGAATTGTACTTCTCCTTTTAAATAAACTAAAAAAAAAATAATCAGGGAAATAAGATGTTATGTACTTAAAACCCCAACACTTAGAATTATATATAGGATTTGATGAGATACTGATATATAATCTGACTTCATTAACTTTTGGAGGCGGAAAAAAAAATCATACCGTTTTCCTGGTATTAAATTTAAATGCATTGTAAGACATAGTTATTCATTCAGAAGTCTTTTTAAGAGCCAATAATGTGAAAAATATAGGGTTGCATAATTATTTGTAACATTTATAAATTCAGTCTGAATTTAATGATTTTTGTTGTACAATTGCCATAGTTGGTGGTAAACAAGACATGGCATAGTATAATTACTTATATACCCATCATTGGCTGGCTGTTTTTTCTGTTTACAGCTTTGGATGATGATTATAACACTGGTCGTATAAGGAACGTCTTCAAAAAGGCAATACATTGCCCTGTGGCCAGAAGCAGAAATGGCTGTAACGCATTGCATCCCTGTACATGTGGGAAACCTTGCTCTTTATCGGTCTCCCTGGAAACCATTACTGTGCTGTCACTTGCATGTGGCCTGTCACAGATTCAGGGGGAAAACAAGCATCTTAGTGTGCTAGTGAAAAGAAAAGGTAAAGTAGAAATAGGAAGATGGGGCTTGGTAGAAGGTCTGGAGGGTGGGGGGTGCAAATGGCTGTGATGTCTGCAGGCTTAAAAGTGTTGATAACCATGGATTAGCTCTGCCTGCTCCCTCCAGCAGCCTTGACTCTGTCGTCTGTCTTTTAAACCCCTCAGCTTTTTCTTTGTAACTACAGTATCTATGTAGAATGCAGGTTTGCACACATATGGGCATTTTCCTATAGAACCGGTTTAGTCATTTTTTACAGTTCTAGTGTGAGTTTGCTCACTTGATTGTGAGCAAATTTATTTTAGACCACATTTAACCAGGTAACTGCACAAACTCAAAACTCAAACAGGGGTTTTCAGAGTCTAACACTTTTGGCCATTATCCAAACAACAGAAATATCACTCGTACTCTAATATTTCAGTTTTCTGTCTGCATAAATGCACAAAATGTTCACTTATGTCCAACACTAAACATCAAATAGTCATTATTTTATTGCAGTAGTTTCCCTTTTATGTACTATTATGGCTAATTTCCATATTGTGTCTTTTTCCTACTTACATATTGTCCCTAAAATGCTTGACACACCAGAGACAAATGTGGCACAGACTTCGCAACTGCTGCTGTAGTCTCTATTCTACACTGGATTGGTATACATTATTATTAGTAGTAATAGATTGGCCATTGGTTTGAGTTTAGTCAAGAAAACTGCAAACACAAGAGTAAAACCCAAATACACAAGTTAATGTTATTCTGTCTCTTGTGACATTTTTCTGATGCCAAGGAGAAACCACAACCCTATCTTTGAAAATTGTTTAAACAGAGCAGGGATGCATACTGTTTGTAATCTCCATTGTCCTCTCGTCATGTGTTTGTGTGAACAGCTTTGCCTGCAAGGATCAGTTGAGTGACATTGTGCAAGCAAACACAATTAATGCTCTCAAAGAATTCAGTTTTTTTTATTGCCTTTTACTTGTTGCGCAAGCACAATGAATTGGTCTTAAACACTTTTAGGAAAAAAAAAACGTAATTTTGACTTATGTGCATAAATACGATAAGCAGAGTATTCGCATACTGTGGCAGTTTTTCATTCTTTATCACAGCCTAACTTTTATGTAGTACTTTAGTGCTTTAAAATCACACTAACAGACAATGGAACCTGACTATAACACAGTTTCGCTGACATAAATACAACATTTAATTCAGTTACATATTATTCTACTTCCCCTAACTGATTGTCTGTATACTTTAATTCTGTTCATCAAGTTTTCCCCTTCCAAATTGCCCAGATCTCATCCCAGGTACTTGTAGTAAACACCTATAATCACAGCAGTCATAAACAATTTAATTTTCATCAAGCCTCTCTATGGTTTATGGCCAATGTAATCTGAACTATCAATGATTAATGTTCTCATCTGCCTATACTTAAGTGAAGCAGTGGGACAGCGTGCACTGCTCTGCTCTGAGCACTGTGACAGAACACACAGAATAGAAATTAGTTCACATTGTTGTCAGTTCATCAGTGACAGCAGAGAAACAGATTTTTTTTTTAAGAGAACTCACTTGATGAAAGTGAAAAATCCCTTATTTCATAGGGGTTTTGCATTTTTTTAAAAATTGGACACCAGTACTTTTTAATGAAATATGAGACGTACTATTAAGTGTGAAGGAAAATAAGTTAAAATAGTGTAGATGTAATAATAAATGTTGTTAGAAGTAATAATAAGTTTGAGATCAGGGTGTTTTTGTATTGTACTTTTAAATATGTTTTTTTTATTTTTGCCAAAGTAGAGAAATTGTTTAAATTTAATTTCTTTTGTTCAGCACTCTGTACAGGCATTTGTTACAGCTTTTTTTAAATCCAAAATTCTGTGGAAGTTTGAAGAAATAGCTGTGTATGTGTTTATGAAGGAGAGAGGGGTACAGAAAGAATTTGGAGAACCTTGTTCTGAAGACCTTGTTGCCCTCGTTGCCCTTTGTAACACCATCCAATAGCGATTTATATGTACATAGAGTATTTACTTGTGTTCTTGTGCCACGAATAAAGTATTTACTTTATTCATAGCACAAGAACACAAGTAAATACTCTTTGACATTTGACAGTGGAGACTCACGCACACGGGCAAACGTGCATGCAAAGGAATGGATCACAAACCCTCACTGCCGTCATCGAATTAATTCATTTTGGATCTCACAAATATGACCTGTGATTGCTGGTTGTCAGGGGGCGTGGAGGCTTCGGCTGTGTGTTTGGGTGGGGGTCATTCAGTGGCAGATACATGAAATGATTGGGAGAGTGCAGCGTGTTCTCATTATCTTGTCCCTTGCATTGTAATTATCACTCCTGCTCTTTCTGCACCAGTGCTCCCATCTCTCCTCGCCATTGTAATCGTGATTGACTGGTGTGGCGGCCAAAACAGCGCACTCTGAAAAGACATCAGACACACATCTTATAAGCGCCCTGCCATTTGATCTCGTCATCCTACTCCTCCTCTACACTGAGTGCTCCTCCGTCTCTAAGTTTTTTTCTTTAAAGCCGAAGGAAAGTGGCAGCTCAAGGATATGAAAACATGCTTGTAAAAATTGTATTTGAACATAGAAATATTTATGTTTAATTTGAAGCTTGACTTGGAGAAATTGAGGTTTTAGAGAATATTGTCAATTAAAAAAAGTGTTTAGATGTGACAAGTTTCCATAAAGTAAAATATTTTGAACTTCACTTTCTTTGGTCCTTTAGAATGCAAGACAGTCTAGCTGTGCGACAGGTCTGAATGATACACCTTGTCAGAGCGGGAAGTTCATCAGCAGCCACTGAGAGCCCTATCGATTGAGCTGCCCTGAGCTCCGCCAGGTAATGGATTGGATTTATCCCTCTGTGGATAGGACTTGTGTTGATTCGTGTATGCACACGCACACAGCAAGAAAAAAACGAAATATATTACAGTAGTTGTGCCTGCACATCTGTGTGTAGTCAACACTATTGTGCAACCGCACATTGTAGCTACGCACATTGCACACATTGTTTGTCCACACAACTCACATTGACTGACTGTCTGAAAATTTGTGTGACATTCAGCAGACATTCAGACAGTTGGGATCAAGGGCAGTGATATATTTTCAGCAGCTGTATGGATAAGAGGAAAAAAACAAGACAAGGAGATAGTACATTGATAGATATCAGGACATTTGTCAGGCATATGTCTGCGCTTATTTTAGGAGTGAGAGATGAGTATCATCAAGTCCATATTTTAACAGGAGGGGGAGGGTGCTCAAATTTGATGGAAGATGTCTTTGATGCTGAGACGTGCAGCCTAAGAGTTATTTTTTTTTCTTTTCTTTTTTTATGTTGCCAGACTCATTCAACCACATTAAGAGAAGTTGTCTTCATCTTAAATACAATGTTTTCAGAGCCGGTAAAAGCTTTTCAGATGGCATTATAATGACAAGGGTAAACAGATTTGAAAAGGCCAAATACTTGATTAAATGAACATAGTTGAAGATGTATTCTAATAGTTTATAGCTAAACTGTATACTAATACTTTTTCCCGGCAGCTTTACCTATAATGGGGGTCATCTATGGACTGACATATGATTCAGAAACACTGGGTGGCAATCCATCTTTCCTTATGTCTCCAGCCAATGGTGTGTGTGTGTGTGTGTGCGCGCGCGAGGTCTGCTGCATATTTGTAACCCTTTTGAGTCATAAAACAGTGTCTGGTGATTTAGTATTTGTGCTGTTTCAGGTATGTATGAAAATATCAAGAAGTTTGTGTCAACAACTTTGAGTTCACAATGCCTCGAAAAGATTTACAATGTTTTTAGAATACAGATGGCTGTGGTTGAACTTGCACTTAATGGTTCAGAACCTTGATAGCCCTTGCTAATGAGTTTGTGTGGCTGAAGCATCTGCCTGGATGTCTTATGTAGCCCACCATGTGGAGAATGTCAGCCACCGTCTGGCTTTTATCCACATTCAAGTCCCCATAGGCTGGCTTTACATTCTAATTAGTCTACAATCAAATAACCCTAAGAGGTTTGGCATACCCTGTCTGGATCATGATCAGTCAAAAGATTGTTTAATTTTGTTGTTGGTTTTTGACTCTATAAAAAGGCACATTCAACAAAATATCAGAACATTTTAAACAGTTTTTAGTCAGGCAAAAAAAAAAAAGAAAAAACAAATTGTAGGCATCAATTTTCCAATTTGTTAAAAAAAAAACAGTCATTATTGAAAACAAAGAAAAAAACACAGTTTTGCTACTGTAATTTGATTTTACCTGACCTAAATTTAAGGAAGGATGCTAAATCTTTGTGAATATGGTTTTCAGTCAATACAAGAAGTATTTGAGTTTTGTTGTCTATTGTAGAAGTGAATCAGTAATGCAACACTTATTTCATTTTCTATCTGCACAATACAGCACTTGGTGAAATTAATCTGTAAAAACGTCACAGTAATCAATAAATAATTCTTAATATTTCATCAGAAATAGAAAGTGGAGACTTTAGACTACTACTATTCAACTTTTGTTGAATAAATATAATACATGTCAAGAATTATTTTTAAAATGTTTAGTGTTTCAAAATTCAAATAAAATTTAAAAAAATCTTTTTGTATGTAATATGTATTTAAATCAAAGAAAAATATTTGGTATTAGGAAAAATATCTATTTTTACATTTTAACCTAACTTATTGCAAACTTTTTGGATAATCGTACACACTGACCATATTGTGCCTGTACAGTACAACTGTTTTCTGTGACCGCACTGCTGATTTGATTGGCTTTGGTGGCCAAAGTTCTGGTTTATGGTTTAAAAATCCTGAAACAATGAATTAGCATATTTCATATCCTGACAGTTTTTGGCATTGACTTCTATCTTTTTTTCCTCTGACTGTCAAGCCTCTCCATTGTCTAAATGAAACCTCAAAACATTCTGAAGTTACAGATTATTTTCCTGATAGGATGATGCCTGATAACACGTCTGGGCCATGTCTGTTAGTGTCTTCTGCAGCTAGAGGTTGAGTCTCCATACTTTTGGCTGATTTTCAGTTTTTTTACAGCTTACTTCCGTATCGCTAACTTTAAAGTATGAATTTATATTTTAATGTTATGTTTTCATAAACATAAAAGAAGTATATATATAAAAAAAGTGTGCTTCCTGTTTACCTCAGAGGCATAACGATTTCAGACAGTTACAGTCAAGAGGATCTTTTCACTTTATGGAAATCAGAAAAGAACCATGAGCCAATCCGTGCAACGCAGCATAAAAGCTAATGAAGCACCCACGTATGCGCTGTCGCAAGGTAATGAGTGTACTTAGCTCCAAGGGAAAGGACATCTCCAAAGGATTTTTAGTGTATGCCCACTTCCCCAAGTGCTTAATCATGGTGCTTGATTATGAGCAGCCATTAGAAGACTGTGAGTCAGTCCCACTCAAACACTAAGGAATTATGCTGTGTTTTATTGAATTCAACATTCTTCGCCTCCGGTCTATGAGAGTTTACACCGAGATGGCAAAAAAAAAAAAAAAAAAGGCCACAAAAGCATCTCACTAATGGTGTATCATATTAAGCAAGCAGATGGGCTTTATTTGGAGTGTGCTTTTTATTAGCAGTGAAGAACCTCCTTAAACTGGCATGTATCTCACAGAGTGACTCACTGACATCTAGACTGCAGTGGATTCTCCACAAGTGGAGCTGTTTAGCTATCTCTTTAGTCAAACAACATTGTCCATCACCTTGATCTGACTGGCTGATCTCTGGGGATCCTATGTGGTAATGGCAGTAAATTCTAAAGGGACAACATACATTTTTTGTTTCCTTTTACAAAATAAAATATAAAACTATATAATGTAGACTAATTGCAATGTAGAGGGATTTACATGAGTAAGTCAAAAAGTATCATGAAAGATATTCCAATATCAATAGTTATAGCAATAGATCTTTGTCCAAAATAGGTTTTGTTGTCAAAATATAATAATTATACACATTCTGATTTACTTATTAATATAATTTCAAATATAATTTAGACTATACATACAGGGCGTGCAGAATTATTAGGCAAATGAGTATTTTGACCACATCATCCTCTTTATGCACGTTGTCTTACTCCAAGCTGTATAGGCTCGAAAGCCCACTACCAATTAAGCATATCAGGTGATGTGCATCTCTGTAATGAGAAGGGG